GCGTCAAGTAGCCACTGCAGAGTGACTTTTAATATTAAAAATTAACGTTTAGGTGAGAGAAAGAGGGAGGGAGCACTTTTTTTAAATTCGTAAAAAGATGAGAAAAATGTCCTTGCAAATATTTCTAAGATTGAAAAACTCAAGACAACCTATAAACCAAAGTAAATCTGCAAAAGTTATTCAAAAACACTACCCGAAAATGATCCCCGTTAAAACAGATATACTCAGTAAAGAAAGGCTCCCAGAGAAATCGATGGTAAAAGTTAGATCTATTAAACAAGAAAGGACTTGCATGAAATTTGTAGCACAAAAACAAACAAGTCAGCCCAAAACTTCTATACCACAGGGTCTCCACCCTATGAGCTTCCTCCCAACCTAGCAATAAAATATTAATTCCTTTATGCCTCTCATTTGTTTTCCACCTTCCCGTTAAATGCATTTATGCTATTTGCCTCAGCCATGATATGGTATCACGTTTCAAATTCTCACCACTGACTTAGTAAAAAGCTGTTTTTCTTGAACTCCTCATTACATTTATTCGTGCACAAACAATGACCCCTTGTGCTCCCCCACTAGTGAAAATATCTTTCCTATGTCTACCCTATCAAATCACTTCAGAGTTTTTGAAAACTTTTGACTCAGATCTCAGGATTGAGGAAACGGAACAAACTGATCTCAGAATTTTAAAAAAAACAGAAAGCAAATGGGAAAAAACATGAAAGAGAGTCTATAGAATCCTATAAGAAGGAGCCATTACCAACATGCAAATATAAAAGAGTGAATTACAGATGAGAGATTAGCAACAATGATCAAAAGGGGAACACTCAAATTTGATGAAATTGTAAAGAAAATTAAACCAGCCAGGTCTTAAGAGATATGGTTAATGAGATGGGTAAGGAAGTATTGGAGCTGGAAATAAATTACAAAATGAGAGTTACGTGCCACAAGGTGACATCTTTGACAGACAGAAAGAAAGGGATGACAACAGATAGCGCAAAAGACAAAGTTGATAAAATATATTTGAAAGGGGCACAGGAGCAAAAATATGGATAGAATATTCAAGGATTTGATTGTATAACGGTCTAAATCGAGAGAATCCTGAAGGCAGACAGGTAAATTAAAAGACTGAACATTATGATATCAGAGATATGGAATGCTTTGGAAACTAAAGGTATAGGTAAAGGTCTAGCCATACATGAAGTAACAGTAGAACACCTAAAACCCTTTGGAGAGACAGAATTAGATGTTATAACAAATGTGATCAAATTTATGCTAGATAACCTGAGTTATTCATCCCTCAGTAAGATGGCCAAGATATCCAAAGCAGTGATTTGTAATCATTTTAAACCGTAAGATGAATGAGTCACCTTTTAAAGTGATCTTGAACATGATAGAAAGAAACAATCATGTATGTGAAATTGGTGAAACAAGCAGGCACAACAGAGGCAATATTTAACCCAAGAACAAACTATATTAAATACCTGGGAGTAAACAAAAACATTTACATGTGTTTCACAGATTATGAAAAAGTATTTGATACTGTTTGTCACCAAAATGTTAATAGATGCGTTTCTGAAATCTAATATTGATACTGCAAAGATGTAAGATTTATCCAGGGCATATATTGCGAACACACACTGAGTGTCAGGCTGGAAGATGAACAATCAGACATGTTTCAAGTGAAGACAGCAGTATGACAAAGCTGTGAATTGTCATCCAAATTCTTAAATCCATACACAACAATCAAAAATACTTCCAGGGATTAAAATTAGAGATAAGGATGTGACAAGCTTGCCATATCCCAATGACTCAGTGCTTGCAGAATCAGAAGAGGCACTGCAAAACATCATACTCCAAGTAAAATGTAGAAATTAAGAATGTGGACTGAGTATGAACACCAAAAAGATTAGAAACAACAGACTTAGAAGGAATAGATTAGAAATAACTGGAGCAACCCACTGGAACAAGTATGTACTTTTGTCTGTTTGGGATAAATAACAACAGAAGATGCTAGGTGGAATGCCAAAATTAGGAGCAGGATGAAGATAATCAGAAGTAAATTCGTGAAGGTGAAAGATGTGTTAACAACAAGTAAACCCAAGATTGTAACAGGTGAGAAAGATGGTACATTTTAAACACTTTTCAGTATGCCTCGGAAACCTGGGCAATAAGGGAAGATCTACAGAAGGAATAGAGGACTTTGAAATGTGAATATTAATTCTATAAGGAAAACAAATAAATAGCCAGGAAGAAAACATCAGCACTTCAGCCTTAAATCAGGACTGAAGAGTTACAGGGATCTCTTCTAGAAGGCAGAGCGGAGGGCACCAGAGAGAGGGTTGACCTGGTGTAATTTGATGGCAGATGTCACAGAACAGGTGCAGACCAGCTACAATAGATGTGAGGACAGTGCAAGACAGATGTGTATGGCATTACAACAGCACAAACCTCTCAGTAAATAGTTCCATATAGCAGCAGAGCTCAGGCCTGTTCAACCTATACTGACAGTTTTGCTTCTGGTGTCATCCTTCAAAATCATTGTTGAACTTTCTGCAGCACTTCTGCAGTATATGTTTCACATATAATATGGAGGCCAGTCTGCTACAGGACTCAGCTTCCATTTTTATAGCACCTTGTTGCACTTCACAATTAATTACTTTTGGTGTGCAGTGGCTGTTGTTGCATAGAGATTCTATGTATTTAAAATATGTGTACCTTATTTCATTGAGTATATTCATATTAACAGATTCTTGAAACTGGGTGATGCTGAGTGTCAATGACATAACTTTGCCATGGAAATGAAAGTGAACCATTCTGTATTAGTATTACACAGCTTCTTGAGATTGCCTCCAGTTGATTATTTGCAAGTTACTAAAACACTCCATCATTCATGAAAGTGCTCCAACAGTACTAAAGCTAAATTGCTATAGTCCCACTACCTCATTAGAGAGAAAGACAACTAGTGGTGGTGGTGGTTTAATCTGAGGTCAGCATGCCTCAGGTGAGGGAAGAGGTTAAGAAGTCCTTCATAGTAACCTCAGCCAGTACAGGAACTGAGCCTTTGCTATCTACTCGTGTAGCTCTGCATCGCAAAGCTGTTGTTCAGGCAACTGAGCTAACCCGACTCCCAACACTGATAGCAAAAATCAGGACCGTTATACCAAACAGAGGCTTTTTGACTCTAATGTTACCCTGGGGAGCTGCAGATGAGTTGACAAAGTTACAGAAATTTTAAGGTAGGTTTGGTTCCAGTTTTCACTTTCCCCCTGCATCCCGATTTAGTGACAGCAGTCTGAATCAACCCTGGGGAAAGTCGTAGCCCAGTCTGACAGACCTCTCTAGCTGACTACCCACTCTCTGTTCAGTAGGGTAGAAACCCTTTCCCCAGCCCAGTGTTACTGAGGTCAATATCAGAACAAAGCCACTGGGAACTGGGCTGAAGGATCTTCTGTTCACCCACTTCGATCCTGAGGAACTTCCCTTCATGCCATTCGGCTGCTGAAGTCACCAGCAAGTGCTGAGCTGCTCTGAGCACTACGGCCTCTGCCTGCATGGGCCCGCTGCAGAGTCAGACAGCACCTACCGCGGCGCCAGCAGAACCAGGGCGAGCGAGAGAAGGCAGGAGGCGCTATAGAGTACTGACTGCCACTGTAAGCTTGCAAAAGCCTCAGGAATCCTGGCAGTCCCAGCGTACCTGAACAAGTTATTGTCCTGTGTGCAGTGATACCCATCATCAGAGCAGATGTCTCACACAGTCGCTGTACAGTTTCTGTGCTGCTCTTGAAGTAACAAGAAAACTCAACTTTAAAAAAAAAAATCAGAAACAAAAACAAATAGCTGGAAAAGTTCAGCAGGTCTGGCAGCATCTGTGAAGAAAAAAAATCAGAGTTAACGTTTCGGGTCCGGTGACCCTTACTCAGAATTGGGCTGCTGAGCCTTTCCAGCAACTTCTGCTTTTTTTGTTTCTGAGGAAGGGTCACTCGATCCGAAATGTTAATTCTGATTTCTCTCCACAGCGGCTGCCAGACCTGCTGAGCTTTTCCAGCAATTTCTGCTTTTGTGTCTGATTTACAGCATCCGCAGTTTTTTCGCGTTTTTCTTAAAAAAAAACAGCTGGTTTAATATAAAGGAACTCGACCACCTGTTTTCTACGTTGCCTCTGGGAGGTTACATTTAGTTAACTCACTCACACACAATGCTACTGATTAAATGCATCGCAACTCCTTTGTTAATTCGGTACAAATGCGCGAAATTGTTCATATATAAATGCCATCATTACGCTGTGCAGATAGAACCCTACTGGGGTTATAGGATATTGAGGTAAGTTGGGGATGAGAACCCGACCATACGAGTTTGACAGTGCACCCTGTGCACCAATATATTAAAAAAAACGGGGTGACCATTTCTGACAGAGGAACTGAACTCAGCGCTAACCAGCAGCTCCAGGCGTTCGCAGCGATGGCCCAAGAACAGGGAAAGTAACCCCCGAATGAAATGACCGCACAGTTACAATTGTGCAGAGCGCTGCATGACTAACGGCGGGGAAGTGACCGGCTTCTGGCCTCGGGATTTCAATCATCAATTTCCTTTGGTTATTCTGGGCCATCTGAACACTTGCATTAAACTAATTAATGTAAACTGCCGAAGATAAAAGAGGAGTTCAAACCGACAGCATGTGGGGACGGGTGGGTGGGGAATGGGGTGGCACTGTATTTTAACGCCATCTGAAGGGGTCAGCAGCTGAGCAGATTGTGCTGTTGTAACTCAGGCTCAGTCCTGCAGTGAGTGCAGTTCCCTCACTGCACCTGCCCACGCCATTGCAGCACTTCCAGCTTCATCCGAAAATGGTCAGCGCCAGAACTCCCAGTGTCCCCATCAAAGTGGCTCCCCCCCCGCCCCCCCCCCACACCACACACACTTGGACATTTTGTTATACAAATGAAATAAAAATTGATGAAAACTGTCTCCAATTGAAGCATCACCACGAACAGGAGACTTACCTGCTTCCAAACTCGGGAAGGACAAACAAAAGCTTAAGAGCAACAGGGAAAGGGAGTGCATTCTCTCGTCCTTTTTCCCCTTTGTCAGTTCCTCCTGTATCAAAAGTGAGGGATGCAATGGATTTGCAGGAACTGAGCGCTGGCTCCTGCCTGGGGCTTTTTAATGTCTGGCCGGGACAGTCGGAGCTGCCACAAGATGCCGAGCTCCTCCCCCTGGATCCACCTCTCAGCAAATTCCCTCAGAATGGAGCCGGCAACAGGGCGCAATGCGGGAGGGGCTAGCGATCTGAGTTCCGGGCACTGGGTTTATTTTGATGGCGTTTCAGATTCAGCTCCGCCCGCAGGACTGTCCCTTCGTCAGTTTCCAGGAGGGAGAGTGAGCTCGAGTGGCGAGGTTGCAAACGGCACCCTTTAAACTAAAACACTTGTCAGTCAGAGAGCGGGTCAGAGATGCAGAAACTCCTGATTAGATTCAATCTGCACTGGTTTGTAGCCAGCATCTCGCCTCGTATCACTATTACTCTTTCACTGTGAGGAGAGAAAAGTGATCCTGACCTGTGAAAATACGTGCAAATCCAAAGCCATGATCTCAGTGTCTAGTTACAATCCCCGTGTTGGAGGGGTGGGGGGGGGGGGGGTGTGGGTGTCAGGTGGAAAATGGGACCATGCCGGGCTGGAAAGACTCAAGTTCATTCTTTGCTGTTTGTTCCATTCTGAACCAACGTGAAACCACCTGGACTCTGACTTCGAAACTATAATTGTCGGGTATCTATCCTCTGGGATTTTACCTAGACATTGCAGCCAAAATCCCGCCTGACCTAATCATTCGACACAAGTTGGATGTACACAGAACACGTTTCACTTGGAACAATAAATGAAACTTAAGACTCACAAACTTTTCTTTAAAAAAAAGCCTATTCGGGCAGACTTACAGCTCGGGATGGGACATGAATCCCATCAATACTGAGCCCAACTACATCACCACTGCACCTCGATATTTTTCCTAACCAACTTGTTCAGAAATTTTCCACACAGCCCTGAAGCAGGTGGGAAGTGGACCCCAAGTCTCCTGGCTCTGAGATGGGAGAATAACACTAAACAAAAACCTTTGCCAAGCTTTCTCATGTATTTAAACTGGTGTGACTGGATCCTTCAGCATGTGAGATTCTATCTTTAGGTGGGAAATGTGCAACAGCATCCAGAGAAAGCTATGGGAATTGATTAATATCTTGCTAATAAACTGCAGCAATTCAGCTCTGTGAATCGTGCCCGCCCTACTTTGTGCAAATCAGCACGCTCCCAATCCGATTTCCTATCCTTTCACTTTCTTTAACGTGTGGGACATTGTCGTTTGCGAGGGCAGATTTTTGCGATACATGTTACGAGGAGCAAGGCATCTAAATACTTCCCCATAAGTGTCAGAGTTAATAGCTCAGCGGTGAGCGTGAGCTCTAGGCGACTCAGTGGTGGGACCCGGGTTCGATTCCACCCTCGGGCAACTGTCTGTGTGGCGTTTGCACATTCTCCCTATGTCTGCGTGGGTTTCCTCCCACAGTCCAAAGATGTGTAGGCTAGGTGGATTGGCCATGCTAAATTTTCCGTAGTGTTCAGAGATGTGTAGATTAGGGAGATGGGTCTGGGTGGAATGCTGTTAGGGTCGGTGTGGACTTGTTGGGCCGAAGGGCCTGTTTCCACGCTGTGGGGGATTCTATGATTTGGAAGTAGCATGTTCCTATTAGATTCCTTCATTAAAAAATGCGACTTATTACTAAGTTTATCACCTCTATTGGAACCGTAAAGGTTATTTGAGCATTGTAGAGCCATTTTTCGCCAATCATCTTCGCCTCGAGTGGCTATAGAATTGTGTTCCATGCTTTTTATAAGCGACAATATCACACAAGTGATTAAATGCAAAATACTGAAAATTAGATGCGATTTTAATTTAACTTACATTGAAATATTAATTTTTATTTTAAGTACCAAGGCGTTGTAACATAATCACGAGAGGTTTATTTAAACGGCAGTTCAATCTGTCATGAGTAACATACCCCCAGGATTTTCATAGCCATGGTAACATCATATTGATGGAAGTAATTTCTGTGAAATGTTTGAATGTCTTTGTACTGCCTTTGAACCTGGAAAGACTGCAGATATTGCAATTATCCATATTCTAAGTTTACATGGAGCCCCTGATTCTGGACATGTCTACTGGTGCTCTGAAACACCCCAAACACACCAGATCATTGTCATAAATGAGGAAACGGCTCACCTCCTCAGACCCACCTCTTCCAATGGATCTTGCCTAAGACGCATTTCAATGGATTAAAATATTTCCCGAATTTCCAGGTGAAGGGAAAGCTCAGCAGTTTCTAATGGTACATGGCTGACTTCAATCGTTATGACATGAATCGATATCAGGTCGATATTTGTCACTGTCTGAATCCACACGGTTCCAGGTCATCTGCCGCTGAAATCCTTCTCCGCGTTTTTTTTAGCTGCGTCTAGACTTGACTATTTCCAATGCAGCGCTAGCTGGTCTCAGGGTCGTAACGTCTTCAAACCTGAATTAAACGTCTGCTGCCCATGACTTAACTCGCACCGAATCCCATTTACTTTTCACTGCTGTTCTTGCTGACACGCGGGGCAAATGGTTAAGCCAAGCTTCCAGGTTAAAATTCCCACCTTTACTTTTAAATCCCTCTCCAGCCCCGTCTTCACCCTGTCCCTGCACCGCCAACCCTGCGAGATTATGGTTTTTTTACGATCGCAGATTTTAATCACCCCCATCATTGGTGGGCTGTGCCTCCAGCTGCCAAAACCATTGGCTCTCAAAGTCCCTCACCAACCCTATCGTAAAGGCCTCTACCTCACTTACCGCCGTAAAACCAGAGGCCAGGCTTTTGGTCATCAGTCCTCGTATCCCTTTAGGGGACTGGGTCTCAAATTTTGTTTGTTAATGCTGTTGTGAAGCGCTAAGTTTAAGTAAATGCACGTCAAATTGTTAGTGAAGGTCTGAAGTACTTGTTGAGGTATCAATTGCATTCTGGTAAGGCACATCCCACTGTCATTCATGTGTATTTCCAAATAAACCTGTTCACAGATGTTATGACACACCTCTGGATCATATGGGGCTTGAACCCAGGCCTCCAGGCTCAGAGTTAGGGACACTAGCACTGCACCACAAGAGCTCCAACCCGCTCAAAAATATGTTTTAACACATCCCTGAAGCAGATGGGACTTGAACGCAAGCCTTCTGAAGTCTGCCACAGTAATGAACTACTCGAGAGTGGGCGCTAGGAAACCCAAATAAAATCTGTTCTTGACCTTATTGGCGCCTGTTCATGTTGCACCACCTCAGATCAGCAAATTCCGCCGACAGTTTTTTTTTTCTGCATGTTTCAACTACTCACTGGATATATTCCAAGGAGAGCTTGACGTTCAATTAAAGCAAAGCAAAGCAATGCCTACTTGGGCGAAGTCAGAACTCTGCTAAAACTATGAAAGGTATGTGTTCTAAAACATTCCATGCGACGGTGTTTTAGGGCTGTTACGTCACTTCTCCCTTAAAATCAGACACAGAGTTTATGATGTACACTTGGGCTTTCTGAAACGGAGGGAAAACTGTTTGGACACAAAGTTTATGTGCCTGGAGAATAATTTGCATTTTGGTTCAGAGTAATTCATTTAATCCAGCACCGCACAGGTTACTATCAATTATAAATTGGAGAGATCCACAGTAGAGCTTCCATCATTGTCTATACTGTGGATGGTGTAAAAATATATTTACTTTCCTCAAGTACAGATATCTTTTTCGATTGACTTCATAATTCTCCTCTCTCTTCACACTTTATCAACATATGGCTTTAAAAATCTAAGTAACCGAAAACCGCCCAGAGACCAAAGAAAATAAAACCTCAGATTTGAGTTTCACAGCCTCAGTAGACATTATGCTGAAACATTGTGCTTAATTCATGAAATGCACCAATTGATCAGAAATATTTATTTTTAAAGAATCAAACTAAGTAGAAAAATATTGATCAGTATGGGTTGCAGGCGTTATTGTAATCCATGTTTTTTCCATGTAATTAAAAGCCGACCGAGAGTCTGCTAAACACACGATGCATAGCGACCTCTAGAGATCGATTGTAACTTAGTGTCCAAAAAAATTAAACAACAATTTACATACCACCTCTCACTTAGTCGACTGTTCTAAAGCGCTTCTACTGCTACAAAAATTGTTTTGCTTCGGAGATTCCTTTTGACAAAATGCATAAACAAGAAACTTTGATTTATTGCATCACCTCCAAGTCTTCTGTAACAATGTAGCACCAGACAGTATTGCCAATTAAAAGAAAGCACAGTATGCTGTGTTTCCCACCATGAGAAATAAACTACTTTTATATAGTGCCTTTCCAGATCTTGGTATGTGGTTCTTCACAACAAATGATGTACTTTCAAAGGAAAGTTACTGTTGTAGTATAAGGAAAGTCTGATTAATCAAGTTAGCAAAAACATTCGGAATTGGATGATTTGCAGTTTTGTTAGAGAATGGAAATATATTTAGAAAGGCAGCTCTTTAATTTGCTGTTCTGGTTGCTTTTAATTTGCTGGAACCCTGTCATTAATTTTCATATTTAAAATCATGCATTGCTGCTAAAGAATCTCATTTTTATAACCCTACTTAGCACATGGCATTTTCTATTCACTGGCATAGATGTCATCATTTTTAAAGGTTATTTTTTATTTTCTATACTGGGAAACAGCTAGATATTTTAATCAACATTCTGTTAAGAGTAAATAATGCAACAATTGTCTGGCATTCCCATAAACAAGGGCATTTTTGATATTGTGCATCCAGGGAAGAGTGAATGAAATGCTGGGCTTTAATGATAAGCCAATGGAACAAATAATTGAAATCTTTATTTCACTTCATACAAAGCAATGTGGGCATACGTGAAACAAACACTATATTTAGAATATGGTAACTTGAATTTCATACTAGCCGAAGGAGCACATTTATTCAACTAATGTTTTCTGGATCAGCATATATTGAAAGCTATATTGTATTTAACCTAATGAACAAATGATTTCTCATGCCTAAACCTAGTAACTGCTTTGAGATTTGTTCCTGTATACACATTTAACTTGTACATTAAATCTCACACTGGAAACAAAACAGCACAGCAGCAGTTTGAGAGGAAAAGGCCAAATGATGTGAAGTTATTGGGACAACAGCAGCTCATAGTGTTATGATTCATTCTCCCTGAAAGTACTTTATACCAGTTTCCTAATTTTGTGATGCTTTATGCTTGATGCTCATTTAATATAATATTTCTAATCACAAGATAGATACAAGGCAGGGAGGACAATTAGGACATTTTAACTCATCCATTCTGTATTTTAAAAGATTATTTTCATTCACCATTGTGCACAGTTTACAGAGTAAGTCGAAATGTCCATTTTTAAGTAAAATAAGCACATTGCATGTTTCTAAATGGCTATGAGGAGAGGGCAGATTTCTCACATAGTGGGTAACTGAAACAAGTACAAATCAAGAAGAATCCGGGGCTAATTTCAATTTATGCTGATTTAAGCAACCTAGGAAAAGGTAGTAGGAATGTTAAAATTATAATCAGTAAGCCTGAGTTAGAGAAAAGACAATTCAAGGATTCTACTTCAATTAGAAGGGCACATTGGATCAGGAACATCCTATTAATACTGTTCAAGGTCCACAGATGAAGAAAGTATTTCCAGGCTACTATTGCTAATGGGGAGGTCATGTGGTGCATTGGGTAGCATCACTGCCTCTGAGCCAGAAGCTCTGGATTTGAGTTTCACTTCAAGGCTTGATGACATGAGATGGTGCATTCATGATCCAGCCAGATAGATTAATTATCAACCAACAAATTCTTCCAAAATATCTATGGTAGGTGATAAGAATGGGAGAATCTCCCAGGCAGCCATTTGTAATGCAATGTGGTGTCCCTCAAACTATAGCCTCTGGGGAAAGGTCAGTTCCCTGTTCCAGGGAAAAGAAAAATCACAGTGGAACCAGACATAAGCAATTACTTTGACTACCTCATAATCCCACTCGGCACAAGAAGAGACAAGTTACCAATGGAACAATCCTTCAGCAAGGAGGGTATATCTGGGACAGGGAAAGAGGAGAGAAACAGAATATCAGTGCTCCAAATTCCTCTGCATAGTAGTAGATTATATTTACACAACACTTATCATTTAACCCATTGAAGGGAAGCTGCACTTAGCATGCAGTAAAGGACACATACAATAAAGGGGAAATTGAGTGTAAAGATCTAAGAGGCAAGAGAGCTTTAAAAATGAGAGGTATCATTATGAAATGTTTTTGAAAAACAACTGCTGACAATGCAAGGATTAAAATATTCAAAACATCGTGACAATGATGTAAGTATATATGCACATCTGTACGTCAGTGTCTGTATCTGCGTATGAATATATGTTTATGACTGTGAATGTATATCTGTGGTTAGTGTGCATGTGTTTCTGTGTGTGTGTATCAGTAGGTGTAGGATATTTATCTGTGTGTTTTGGTGTGGGACAATCTTATTGTCACATCAGCGATACAGTTAAGAATAAACAGATTATGAATATTTACCCTGAGCACATATTAAAAAAGGACTGGGATTTTTTTTAAACCAACCTCTTTGGACGCTGTGACACATTTCCAGGGCAAGTGAGACTCAAACCACAGCCTTATGGACTACAGTGGGGGATACTGCAATTGCACCACAACACACCAATGGTTTCCCCCAACACTTTCACAATGGGAAACTTTCTAGATCTTGTGGTATAATCAAATGATGGCATACGTTGTAACCAAGTTAAAAATTATATCCGAACTACCCATCCTCAGATATAAGATTCAAATGCAAAGTTAAGTAATTCAAAAGTATTGCATATCACACAGACGAGTAACTCTGCTCATTGAAGATTATGGGTGTGACAACTACAATTTAAACATTTGGATTAAGCCATGAATAAAAAGAACTGCTGGGACAGTAGCTAGGAGGCAGAGAAGTGTAAATCTGCAATCTGGCGATGAACGTGTTCCGTGCCCTGTTTCGGACTTCATCACCTGGCTTGGGTTCAATTTAAAAGATGGAGATTTGTTCAAAACAACGGAGGGAATGCAACATGTAAGGCAAAGTTTAAAATCAGAATTTTGCCTTTGCATATTTACGCAAATCGGGAAATGATGTTTCGTTTTCCAATACGTCTATGAACCGTGTCACTTTCCGAACTGTCTGTTAATCATTAATGCTACGGACCATCTCGGGAGGAGGGAATAGTTTCTGAAATACTCTTCCTGCCTTATAAAATTTCAACTCCTCCTAATCCTAGAGCGATCCTGATCAGATGCTGTTCACCTCAGGGGGGGCCCATATGAAGATCAGACAAACGGTGATGAGGATTTAGTTAGCCACACCACGGACGAGACTAGTAAAGGAAATTATATTTTTTGCCCTCTTCCTTCCGATAGCGTCAGAGCGAGTTCGACAATGAAATATCAACTCATCCACTGAGGTTTCTGTGATTTGTTACTGTTCAGTGATGCTTTCCATTGTAGCTGCAAGATATCAGCACAGGCCCATCTCCAACGTGTTCGGGAACTTGGACCCTCCCGTTAAACACATCTTTTTTGGATCCTGCTGCTCTTTATTGCTGAACCAGAGGATTTAGTTAGCCACACCACGGACGAGACTAGGAAAGGAAATTATATTCTTTGCCCCCTTCCTTCCGATAGCCTCAGAGCGAGTTCGACAATGAAATATCAATTCATCCACTGAAGCACGGTTTGCGGAAAAGTGCGTTTTACTGATCCTGGTTATATCTGGCTTAGCCCCTGGACACTCAGCAACATGAACCCGCGGTTCAATAGTTCGGCGGGACACGGCAATACGTCTGTGACTTGGAGCTACTGGTTAGTCCTGTCGCTAGGAATCCCGCAGTTAGCCATCAATCTGGTGTCTGAGGTTTGTAACTGTTCAGTGATCCTTACCATTATCTCTGCAAGACATCAGCACAAGCCCATCTCCACCCTGTTCGGGAGCTTGGCCTTGTCCGACCTCCTGTCAAGCTCATCTTCCTTTTGGATCGCGCTGCTCTTCATCCAGGAGCCGGAGGAGACGATTTTCGGCTCGGAAGAGCTGCTCTATGGCTACACTATCCTCGGCATCTCCATCCTGTCCACTGTCTACAACCTGATGGCTATTGGCGTTGAGCGATACCTGACAGTGGCGGACAGTCTGAGAGCTAGGTGTACCATCTGCCATTGGCAAACCGGGCTGGCAGCCACAGGCAGCTGGCTGCTCGCTGGCCTCTTTGGCGGACTGCCTCTCATGGGCTGGAATTGTTTGGACAGAGACGAAGCCTCATCTGCTCTCTACCGGCCCCTCTGTATCGATTACTTGGTTTTTGTCACCATCCCCAACTGCGTGCTCACTTTCGCTTGTTTACTGGTCACCTACGTTGCCATCATTGTCATCTTAAAGAGACAGAAATGCATTATTGCAGCCCAAGGACACGTTAGTCCCAGGTACAAAGTGGCTGAAGCCCGTGTAGCGAGGAAGAGTGTGATCATTTGGATTATGACTGTGGTCTCCTACAGCCCGTTCTTTTCAGGCGTCCTCTGGGATGCTCCGGATCACACCCTCCTCGCAGAGCTTCATATCAATGTTTATATTTTCAGAAACCTCGCCGCTATCATGATAACGCTGAACTCTTTAGTTAATCCGATCGTCTATACACACAGGTTGGGAAAAAGCGGCATTTCCTTAACATGCCCGGTTAATAACAACATCCACTTACAGGCAATAAAGAATTCCTGAATTTATCGCAGTTAGCCGGATTTCCTTATCTGACCCCAGAGATGGAAAGACACCCCGGAGAGAAATTCGCTCATTGAAAGCGGGTTGAGAGCCTGTCGCACAGTTTCAGCACTAAGGACAGCGACACGCGGGACTGGGATTTGACTGCTAAATCATTGAGTTGAGATGGAACCCTGCTCCTCTCTCCGCACACTACTTGGCCCAACTGAGTCTGTCCAGCAATTTGCTGTTTCTGTTTCACAATGCAAGCATCCGCAGTGTTTTCCTGCACTGTCTGTGATATTGGTATTGGGCTGTGAGGGAGCAATTCATGGCCAGCAGATAAAACCATTCCGAAATAGAAAGGATCAACAGGTTATTTCAGCTGGAGAGTCCAACTGTCTAAAGAGTAAAACAGCGATAATTTTGACTCCACGTCCCCCTTCACCTCCATCCCAGACCCCAAAAAAACTTCCACATCAAACAGATGTTCACCTGCACATCCGCTAATGTGTTCTATTGTATCCTCTGTTCCCAATGTGGCCTCCTCTACATCGGTGAGACCAAGCTGAGGCTCGGAGACCACTTTGTGCAGCACCTACGCTCGGTTCATTACAAACGACAATACCTCCCAGTCGTGGACCACTTCAACTCCCCCTCCCACTCCCTGGACAATACGTCCATCCTGGGCCTCCTCCAGTGTCACAATGATGCCACCCGGAAACTAGAGGAACAGCACCTCATCTTCCGCCTTGGAAGCCTACAACCCATTAGTCTCAATGTGGACTTCACTCACTTCAAAATCTCTGCACCCCCAACCTCATCCCAAGACCAGCACCCCCCTCATCCCTGCCTCATTGACCTGTCCATCTTCTCTCCCACCTATCTGCTCGTCCCACCTCACTGACCAATCTCCACCAGTCCCTACCTACACTCACCTTTACTAGCTTCACCCCCACCTCCTTGACCTGTCTGTCTTCTCTCCCACCTATCCGCTCCACTATCTACCTGTTATCACTGCCGTCCCCCTTTTTTTTATTTCAGAGCCCCTTACCCTCCCCCATTTCTGAAGAAGGGTCCCGACCCAAAACGTCAGCTTTCCTGCTCGTCTGATGCTGCCTGGCCTGCTATGTTCCTCCAGCTTCACACTGTGTTATCTCAGACTCCAGCATTGGCAGTTCTTATTATCTCTGAGCCATCGTATTGGAATTGCTAAGAATCCTTTCCCAGACGTGACTTATGTAACTGTAAAAACTAAATCAAGATTCACCCAAGTTTCTATCACTATTCAATATAACTGAATTCAAAGACATCTCAGAAACATTTGACACCAATTACACAAGTGGGTAGAAGATTGGATCTGTAAATAATTCTGTCAGTGGTTGTTGTATCATGTATCAGGGTCACTGAAGTAGCACAGGCCATTCTCAGACATCCTATCCTAACAGTCTCCATGCTCAAACATCTGACTGGATGGAACTTGTGTTGGTTTCCTCCTCGTGTCAGATGGTTGAAGAGGGTCCATTTGCAATGGTACGATGGCTAAGTGATATATTATCACCATGATAAAGATTGGTTTGATGCCCAGAAGTTCCCAGAAAGCCCCAGTGCCATCAGACCCCATTGCAGGGCATTGTGGGATCATGCCTTTGTGAGGCATGTTAATGGCTTGGGACAATGAAGTCCGTTACATTGAGGCATTGACAGTCCTTGTACACTTACAGAATGCTGCTTCTGTCTAACAGCCAGCACAGAAGAGTGGAGAAAAAATGGTCCCGAATCTCTTGCTCTAATTATTACGGCTTAATTGGGAAGTAAGTCAATAAAATCCTGACTGACTGTTGCACAAGCCGTTCCAAAATGTATGAAATCCCAATGAAACAACAAAATGATCAAATTGCCTTACTGACTGCTATTCAGGACAAAAACACTTCACAACAGGTTTCATTATTAACAAAATATACTCAATATTTATAATCCGCACAAAGCTTCAATGCAAGACAAAAAAAGAAAGGATTACTAAATCACTCCACTGCAACTTAAACAATTCCTGTTCAAAAACCCCAAACACGCATACATTGATGATTAAGACAAAGAAAAATGGTTTGATAGATATTATGGTTTCAAAAAGAAACAAACAGGATGAACAAAATTCCAAAGATCAAAATGCCAGATTTCAAGGATAGCTTAAATTTTCTCATATAGTCTGATAGGCTGTTGACTGTAAAGTGATGGTTATTCTTTGCTTTGATAATTGATCCAGTGGACCTGGATCGTTTCTTTTTAAAATTTTTCCTTTAAAGTTTCCTGTCATTTTCCTCCCATGAAGAGTGAGAAGGATACAGTGATGCTTTTAGTTTACAAATTCTGGAAGGCTTCTTTTCTGTCCTGGTCCTGGCATATACAGCTTTTTTAAAACCACCGGCAGTCCAACCAATCAGATGGCTGTTGCTGGACATTTCCTTAACTAAAAAGATGTGGTGCCAGTCAATGTCAAATTCTCTCCTTCACTGTTTCAAAAAACAACTTTGTCTAACACAGCCAAAAATATATAGCAACTCACCTTCAAATTCAAACTTCCCCTCCCCTGCCTCAGTATTTTGGCAATGTATAGCAATCCAACTTCCATTTTAATTTAAGAAAAAAATTGCAATTGCTTACACTGTCAACAATCAAGTAGCAAAGTTGGACTTGTAGGAAAAGTACTAACTTTAACTTTTATTTCAGATTTAAAGAAATTTCTGCCTTTTATTTCCATGGCTTTAATCCAGTGTTGCTCAAAAATTTGCATTCTCCTAAGAGTCTTTTGTTTTTTTTTCTCTGAAGAAGGGTCCAGACCCGAAACGTCAGCTTTCCTGCTCCTCTGATGCTGCCTGGCCTGCTGTGTTCATCCAGCTCTACACCTTGTTATCTCAGATTCTCCAGCATCGGCAGTTCCTACTATCTCACAGAAGATCCAGTGATTTTATTTGGCTCATGAAACAGTGATCACCTGTATAGCAGCCTCTTCAACTTCGTTGAGTGCCTGTATCTAACATGTACCTTATCTTAGCAGTAAACAAAGATAATGATAGTCAAAGAGAAGATTTTAAGTGCAAGAAAGATAAATTAGCCATGGTCATTTTAACTTCTTGTCCAAGGAAATTGTACAGATAAATAAGGCCTTGCAGAAGGCGCAGAAGAGATTGGCTAGGATGATGCAAAGAATAAGGGATTCCATTATTTACAAAATCTGGAGAAGCTAGAATATGAAGATGCTTTATAAATATATATTCCTTAAGTTTTGAAGGATTGTGGAAAATGGATATAATTCAAGTCATTTGGAAATAGCTGAAATAGTCTTTTTATAAGAGGTCATTGAAAGTTCACTGTGGACATTGAAGATGTTTCAAATAAAGCTTCCTGTAAATCAGGTGACTGGTGATAAATGCTTGCTTTGCTGTAGACCCCTACTGTGGCTGTTTTGAATAATGACTGGCTTGGAGAAGTTTTTTTTTATTTAGTTGGAGGAAAGCTTGTCAAGAACAAGCTGTCCAGCTGATCTCTCATTTTGGAAAACAAAATCCTCTTGCTGAGTTCAGGGTGAAACCTATTTGTTCTTTTGAAAGAGTGATTCAAAGAATATCTCAAGATTTTATTTCCCGAGAAATCTGTATTTGCAAGACTTCAAAGACAACCATATTGGATCATTAACTTGACATGTGCCAGGAAATCAGAGCAATAAATTTGAGAACATCCTACCTATAATCCTTTTAGCTTCAAGAAAAACCCATTGACCATTTTTTGTCTAAAAGAGTGATTTCTGAAGAAGGGTCCAGACTCGAAACATCAGCTTTCCTGCTCCTCTGATGCTGCCTGGCCTGCTGTGTTCATCCAGCTCTACACCTTGTTATCACTGGATCTTCTGTGTTTTTTTTTAGCATGGCATGGTTGAATGTTCAAGTGCTTCATTTTGCTTTCATTTGTACCATCTTAATCTATTATGATTTGTAATGCATTCAGCAGGTCTTGAGATGCAGTGACAGTGCTACTACCTCCATACATACACGCTACAAATAACAAGCTATTGCAGGAGTAACAGATTTGCTAACCTCTCATATAATAAAGTGATAACAGGACAGATTTTATTTTCTTTCCTTTTTGACCTCCCCAATGAGAAGCAGAATAGTGTTTTTTATCTATCAGTACAAATTGAGGTATTTATACCATTGGAGTTTCCATTTAAATCCATTGGGTAGAAAAAGAAAATCTGCTTCACTTGTGATAATGGGATGTGTAGGTTACTACATATTTCTGAAATATATAGATGTCAAGACTGGAAGTGTAACTGACAGCCACACCGCATTGAAAAGCCTAACAGATGAAACATAGACTGCACGATCATTTAGTTTTTGAACAGGTCTGAAATTTAAATTCATAGGTTTTAAATCACTGAAGAGGAGACTGGTAGAAAATTCGTTGCGCTGAAACAATAAAAATAAAACATATTAAGTTTCCAGATGACAATATTTTTTATCCAATGTATCATTTCTGCAGAATATTTCAATAAACATAAATGATACAGCAAACAATGTATTGCTGCATCGTTCAGTTTCAAACTTACAAATGTAAAGGCAATAAAATATGGATAAGGAATATACAATATGACCTGCAAAACAGTCCTGACCGCATTCAAAAAATGTGCCTAAAGCACAATGAACCAACTCATAAATGTGGAGAGATTGGCTAACACTGCTTTCAGTAATGGTGAAAAATGAACAATATTGGATTGGCTCGGCATTATACATTGCAATGCTAGTGAATAATCAGGCAGTGTGTATAAGGGGCACCGATTTGATGTTGTCCACTTCATATTGCTGTTGAAGTTGAAACCACAGATGGCTGAATATCCAATTCAAATTGGCATTTTTCTGCCAATTACTTGTTCACGTGATTATTCTCCTGACTTTCACTAAAAGGTGAGAGCAGTTATGAATCAGAAAATCACTTATTTCTCTATGAAAACCTAATAAAACACACACTGAGACACATTAGTTCAGGGATTTGTTTTCCTTCCTGCCTTGAGACACAAGACAACATTATTGCAAAGAAGCCATACCAAATTTTAAATATCGGCCAGTTGTGGCTCTCAGGCAATGTTATAACATGACTGTAAAATCTATCTCCCTAACAAAATAGGCATTAAAAACTGCTGTAAAGTGTTTTATCAACTTTGAACAGATTTGCTTTCATTGATTTTTTTTTATTACGGTGGAACAGAATACTCAGGCGCCATATGGCCTCACATGAATATATCAGCAAGGACGTTGAGATGTTCACTTGAAAAAAATGTACAAAGCTGCAAAATTTGCACCACCTATTCTGGACTAACATGAAATATGTGCAGTTAAGGATAACACAGTCCAAAAATGCTGCTTTCTTTCCGCTGATTCATGAAAACCACATGTGGGTTGAGAATATTAAAAAATCTTCGGATGCATTACAGATTCTAAACACAGAAAAGTGAAGAATTGTTATCAATTTAAGGCTATAGTAGTGTGTACTGGTCATGGTTACCACTATGCCTTTACTCACCCGGGTGTCCAAGTACCCTGGATTTTCTGTGACCGTCTCTTAATTGAGGCCTATGTTATGTGACTGAGGTAGATTCCTGCTGGGACACTTCTTGCCCATTATTATTGTTTCAGAGTTTTGTGTGTGGACTATCCATCTTCACATACATGCTGTCTTTCCAGCTCTGATAGCTCCAGTAGCATCTCCAGCTTCCACCTCCACTCACACTCCATTCTGTAAGTTCCAGTGGCCCATCATCCTCAATTATTGTTTTGATGCTGAAGTGTTCCTTGATCTATTGCACAAGAGCTGGTAACTCTGCTGCTGCCTGCAGAGCAAACGGTCCGAACACACTACTGGCTGGCTTTCTCTCTTCAAAACCGCAAACTGATTTACTAAGCCTCTCAATACGGCACAACTCTCTCACCATAGGAATTAATTGAGTGATACTTTGTTGCACTGCCTGTGATGAAAACTGTCAGCAATTTTTGATTATAGTAAAATTCAAGGAATAGGATGTTACCTTTGACTGCTCCAAGATATCAGTTATATCCAACACTGCCATGGGACAAAGATGGAGCTTGTTGCAGGGTTTTCAATTGCTTACCCTGAACAGTTCAAGGGTTACTAAATAGTCAATTAGATGGAGACAGAGAAAGTTGCTATGCTTGGCTCATTGTCAGTTAAGTATGTAGGAACAGGCACAAGAGGCCCTATCCCCAAAAGGTGCTTCTATAGAAGTGTTCAAGCCAATAGGACTCAGGAGAAATCTGGAGAGTCAGGGGTTAGGGCTTAGAAAAACTCTGGATGCCAAAGGACCTCAGAAAATGCTGTGTACCATTAATAGTTCCATGCAGCAGAAAGCCAGGATGTAAGGAGCCCATAGGCAGAATTTGCTTTGTGCAGCTGAGAAAGGTTATAGTTTGAAGTAAGATCATGACAGTACCAGCTTAGGAAAGCCAGCTGCTGGTGAAAAAGTAGGTTTTTGCCTGTAAGTAAGTGCTGGCATGCAGTTTGAAGAATCTGAGCAAGTATAGTCCCAAAAAAAAGGGTGATGTACCAGAACATGAGCAGTCATTTAGTAGTCTGTGACAGAGTGGCTTTTGAGGGGTTTTAGAAGCTAGATCTTCAAAAGAGTATAAATTAGAAACCCTTCATGAGATTTGATGACTTACTGTTTCACTAATATCTGGAGGAGCTGCTGAGGAATCTACTGGATCTGTCTTGACTATATTTAATTGCTATTTGATGTACCCTTTGGGGTGTTTGAAAGTGTGGGCAGAATTTTCTTTCTTAGAGACTAAGCATGGAAATGAGCATAAATGTGCAAGGGACAAGTTGCTCAGGGGAAGGTCTGGTTTTCTCAGACGATAATTTTCTTCTCAGCTTATTACATATTCATGCATAGGTAAAACGTCACATTATATTGGAAGCTGGTAGGCAACATGTCCTGCACGTTCCCTCTCCCTTCCCGTCCCCACTAATCAGGACCTTTTGGGGGTATCCTTAGTCACCCATAAGCAAGTCCTGGAGATATTTATTATTTTCATGGGATATAGGCATCACTGGCAAGGCCAGCATTTGATGCCCATATCTTTTTGCCCTTGCACTGAATGGATGACTAAGCTATTTCAGAGGCAGTTAAGAGTGAACTACATTGCTCTGGGTCTGGAGTCATGTAGAGACTAGAGTAAGCAAGGACTGCAGATTTTTATCCCTAAAGGGTTTTAGAGAATTACATATGTTTTTACAACAATGATGGTAGTTTCATGGCACCATAATGAGATTGGCTTAAGGCACACAGCACACTTGCCCTTATTAGTCGAGACATAGATTATAAGAGAGAGGCTATGTTAGAGCTGTACAGAACTGTGGTTAGGCTACAGCTGGAGCACTGTGTGCATTTCTGATCTCTGCTATATAGAAAGGGTATGACTGCACTGGAGAGGGTGTAGAGAACAGGATGTTGCCTAGGATAGAGCAATACAGCAATGAAAAGGGGCAGGATAAGCACAGGTTGTTTTCTTTAGAGCACAGAAGGTTGAAGGGAGGGACCTGATAGCAGTGCATAAGATTTTGAGGGGCACAGATAGGGTGGATAGAAAGCAGGTGATCCCCTTAATTGAAGGGTCAGTAACAAAGGGCACACTTTTAAGCTGAAAAGCAGGAGGTTTAAAGGGGAGTTGAGGAAAACCTGTTTTACCCAGAAGGTGGGAATCTGGAATGCGCTACCTGGGGAGGGCAGTTGAGGTGGGAAATCTCAACCTTGAAATGTCATACCATTCAAGTCTATGGCCCTAGTGCTAGAAAGTGGGATTTGTGTAGATTTAGCATAGTTTTGGTCGTACAGACTCAATGGGCTGAGGGACCGCTTCTGTACTGTATGATTCTATGATATATTAACTGCATTTAAATCCCCCCAGCTTCTACGGTGGGATTGCAACTCAAAAAAGATTAGTTTAGGTCTCTGGATTACTGGTCTAGTCAAATCTCCAGTATGCCACCACCTCTGCGTATGATGATTCAGACAAGCATTCAAGAACCTGGGATCGCACCTGCAGGAATTACTGCCTGAGCTCACAACTGGGCTGGGCATTGAGGGAGTGAAGTTCCTTCCTGTTCAGGAATACTGCTGGATGATGTCAGGGAGCTCTGAGTACCACATATATGCCATCGATGGCCTTTTGTATCTGAGAGAACCCAGTTAGGTTGCAAATCAGATGGCCCAGTGACTTCAGCTATCTGGGTCAATGGTAAACTGGAAAAACTGTGCTGCTTTCCTATACAGGTGAACTCGTGCATGCACTTGTGGGTTGAGGCACGTGTCACAGATCAAGGCCTCAGCACTGCTTTTCACTCCTGCAGGTAGCTGCGATATCTCCTGCACACTCTCTCTCAATAGACTATTGAATGATGCTGCCAATGTTGTTTCCCCTTTTTGTGCACTGCATCCTCATCCACAACTGCAACCCCCAAGCTTCAGGTCTGATTCAGTGGCTGCTGCTCTCCCCTTCTTGTCCTTCTCAGACTTAGAAGAGCAAAGAAAGCTGCTGTGTTAAAGTTGATCAGCCAAGTGGCAATGGAAGTGCTGCTCTGTTAGGAAAGATCAGGCATGAGATATATGCCTTCCATTTGACAAGTAACCCATTCAGTTTAACCTTGGGACCTGTATTAGGCTGCTCAGGTGTTGAGTAAAAGCCTGTTCTACAAGCAGCTCTATATGGCAAGGTGCATCCTCCCTAGCCTACAATTGGCGATCCTCTTCTGGATGCTGAGGTTTTTTGAAGGGTCTAGACCCGCAACGTCAGTCTTCCTGCTCCTCTGATGCTGCTTGGCCTGCTGTGATCATCCAGCTCTACACCTTGTTATCTCTCTTCTGGATGCTGCCCTGTGTAAGATATTTGTGTCCTTTATTTTTGCATTGTTTTCCATTCATGTAGCAATTAGCACAATGTGATTCTTGTTGCCTTGCATTAATGTCTGGAACGTAGCCCTTCAACCTTACAATGTATACCCTGCATAACTATTTTAATGTCCGTGTCATAACTTTCATATGTACAGGCTGTGAATGGTCCTGCATGGTTGAAGGAACAATAACCACCCTTAGTATCATCAGCACTGCAGGTGATTGTTAGATTCCCTTCTTGTCAAATGTTAATGAATAACGCGATAGGTTTATTAGATGCAGCATCAAGATCTTAAGACCATACGACATGTGAGCAGAAGTAAATCATTCAGCTCATCCTGTCTATTCCGCTACTCAATTAGATCATGGCTGTTCCGATAACGTTCAAATCCACTTTCCTGTCTTTTCCCATAACTCTTGATTCCCTTACTGATTAAAAATCCCTCTGTTTCAGCCTTCAATATACTTAATGACCCAGCCTCAACAGCCCCCTGTGGTAAAGAATTCCACAGATTCATCACCCCTGAAAGAAGAAATTCCCCCTCATCTCTGTCTTAAATATACACACCCTTATTCTGAGATTATGCCATCTGGTCATAAACTTTCCCACAAGGAGAAACAACCTTTCTGTATCTACCCTGTCAAATCCTGTCAAAATCCAAATATATTACATCTACTGATTCCCCCTTATCCGGCTTGTTACCTCCTCAGAGAATTCTATTAAATTTGTCAGGCATAATTTCCCTTTCATGAAGCCACGCTGACTCTGCTTGAACATACTGTGTGTTTCTGAATGCTCTACTATTACATCCTTTATAATAGACTTGAACCTTTTCCCAATAACAGATGTTAAGCTAACTAGCCTATAGTTACCCTTTTTTATCTCCTTTTCTTAAATAGACGTGTTATATTGGCAGATTTCCAGTCCTCTGGGGCTTTTCTAGAATCTAAGGATTCCTGGAAGATTACTACGAATGCATCTACTATCTCTGTAGCTACTTCCTTTAATATCCAAGGATGGATCCCATCAGGTCCAGAGGACTTATTGGTCTTTAACTCCATTAGTTTCCCCAGCACCTTTTCTATCGTGAATCGTACTACATTCATTTTCTCTCTTTCTTTTGCCCTTGAATATTTATTAATTATAGGATGCTATTAGTGCCTTCTACAGTGAAGACTGATGTATTTATTCACCTCCTCTGCCATTTCCTGGTTCCCCAGCTTCATTCTCTGAGGAGCCTATGTTCACTTTGGTATCTGTCTTCCTTTTTAAATATTTAAAGAAGGTCTTGCTGTCAATCTTAATATCACATGCAAGATTGCCCTCAAAGTTTATTTTCTCCCTCTTCACTTTGTCCTGATTGTCTTTTGTTGGATTTTAAAACTTTCCCAAACTTCTGGCTGATTGGCCACATTGAATGAAAAACATATAATCTGATGCTATCCTTAGTTTTCCTAGTTAACTATGGTTACTTGTTTTTATTCTGTAGTAAATGTTGCTGCTCAGTGCAAACGCCTTAACTGAGTACTCACACAATAGGTTTTTCTCAAGTTCTGTTTTTATCGGCTCAGTTGGGTATGTTTTACACTGTGAGGTAATGCATACAAATACAAGACCATTCCACACGTACCATGCATTCTCTTAAAGTTCCTCTTTTCAGAAGGCAATTGATAAAGATCATGGTGGTTAAGCTCTCTTCAACATTTTCAACCTCTACTCTTATCCCTTTAGAATACATGCCCTCCCATATAACTGTGCATGGCTTCCATCTGCTATCTCCTCTTTCCTTCTTCAATCTCCCCTTGTGACTATTGTCCGTTTGCTGCTTTTCTCAAGTTCCACTCCCTTTCAGATTTCCATGCCTCATTCTTACAACCCACTCTGCCACTCACCCCCCAAAATGTAGTTCCACTGCTCATTCACCCTCCCTAGTAATCCAATGTACTCCCCAGCCTTAATATGCAGTATCCATCCTTCATGGTCTCCCTTGTACCTATCACTGTCATTCTCCCCTCAGCATCCCAGTTTGCTCCCTCCATTCCCTGGGATCTTTCCAATACGCATGAAAGCTACGCCCTTTTAGTTCCATTCCCTACCTTTCTATCCCATTTTTCTGTTAAACCCCTTTTAAATTGATTTCCCTTTTACGTTGAGCCTTATTTGCCTACCCTGGTCAGGTTTGCTGGAATCAGCCAGTGTGGCTGTCTTGCTAGGGCAGACTAGTTGCACTGTCAGCCCTCACCCCTAACAATGCAAGTATTTAGCAACAGGAAAACAGACTACACACAACTGGGTCATGAGTTTAGAAGGCACAGCCTCAGTGAATTTCTGCAGCGCATCTTGTAGATGGTACACACTGCTGCTTCTGAGCATCAGTGGGGGAGGGAATGGATGTTCATGGCTAATCAAGCAGTCTTCTTTGGTCTGGGTGATATCAAGCTTCTTGAGTGTTTTTGGAGCTGTACTCATCCAGGCAAGTAGTAAGTAATCTATCACACTCCTGAATCATTCTTGGAGATTGTGGACAGGCTTTGGGGAGACAGGCAGTGGGTTACTCATCATAGGACTCCTAGCCTCTAGCCTGCTGTTGCAGCCACATATATATATATATATATGTGACAGTCCACTTCATTTTCTGGTTAATGATAATATCCAGAATATTGATAGTGGCAAATTCAAATCTGACAATACCATTGAATGTTAAGAGATGACGATTAGATTGTCTCTTATTGGATGAAGATGGTCAATGCCTGGCATTTGTGTGGCGCAAATGTTAATTGCCACTTTTCAGTCCAAGCCTGGTTTTTGTCCAGATCTTGCTGCATTTGGATATCGACTGCTTCAGTATCTGAGGAGTCACAAATGGAGCTGAACATTGTGCAATCATCAGCGATGCCCATTTTTGATCTTATGAGGATGGAAAGTCATTGATAAAGCAGATGAAGTTGGTTAAGTTCCTGAGGAATTCCTGCACACGTGTCTTGGAGCTGGATGATTGACCTCCAACAACTACAATCGTCCTTTGCTTTAAGGATGACTCCAACCATTTTCCCCGATTCCTATTGACTCCAGTTTTGCTAGGGCTCCTCGATGCCAGACTAAGTTGAATGTGGTCTTAATGTCAAGGCTGTCACTCTCAGTTCATCTCTAGAATTCAGCTCTTTTGCCCATGTTTGAATCTAGACTGTAATGAGTTCAAGGGCTAAATGGCCCTGTTTGAACCCAAACTGAGCATCAGTTAGCAGGCTACATTACAGAACAAATGTTGCTTGATAACACTGGTGGGGTCCCTTCCATCATTTTATTGATATCGAGAGTGGACTGATGAGGTAGTAATTGGCTGAGTTGTCCTGTATTTTGTACAGGACTTACCTGGACAACTATCCACATTGCAGAGAAGATGCCAATCTTGTAGCTGTGTTGGCATAGCTTGGCTAGGGGTGGAGCAAGTTCTGGAGCATAGATCTTCTTCAGTACTATTGCTGGAACATCATTAGGCCCATAGCCTTTGCTGTCTGCAGTGTCTTCTTGAAATCATGTGGAGTGAATCAAATTGAATGAACACTGGCCTCTGTGATTCTGGGAACCTCTGACAGAGGCTGGGATGGATCAGCTGTTTGACACTTTTGGCTGAAGATGTTTGCAAATGCTTCAGTCTTTCCATTTGCATTAATATTGGTTGGTGAATCATATTGTCCTGCATATCACTTGCTGCTTAAGCTACTTGGCATGCAAGTAATCTTGCATTGTAGATTTAAAAGCTTCAGACAGTTGAGAAGATTCTATATTTATCTTGATTGCTCAAAATATTGACATCATGTGGCTTTATTCACCTAGTAAATACCTGGGACCTCACACTTTGTCAACTGTAATAAAACAGGTTACTGGTTCCTAGCCTGATTGTAAATTCAAGTTGGTAGTCTGTTCTGCCACCATAACATGCCCCAAATACAAGTAAATAACTCCTTAAATATTAGGGAATAAATGAAGGATTTATTAATATATTAATGTTATATATTATTTATTAATATACATTTTACATTAATATTAATATATTAAGGAATAATTGCTGGCCAGCCAGCGGTACCCATGTCCTACAACAGAATAAAACAAATAGTGTGTATATATAATGTCGGTGTAGTCTCACCGAAGCTGCCATCTTTTGTAGAGTGAATGGTATTGTATGCTGAATGGCCTTCTTTGTGCTGTAACCACTTTATGATATGACAATTCTATTCTGATATATTACTTCTAAATCTAAGACATCTTATTTTCTATTTAATCTTTTCTGTGGTGCCATTACAATTGCCTTTTGGAAATTCAGACGCAATGCGTCTCCTACCTTCTCTTTATCTAACTTACGAGTTACATCCTCAAAATACTCTGTAAAAGATTTTAGTCATTTATATGTTTTTAATCTAATGCTATCCTTCAGTTCCCTTTTCTTTTTAAATAGAATGTATTTTTATTAACCATGTTGAATCAATTATTTGAACAATTATTTTATCAGATGGTTTATTCAGACTCTCAGCACACACACCTTACCTGTTTTTTGTTGAAAGGAATGGATTCTGAAAAGACAGTCCAAATTACTGCTTCATTGCACCCAGGATTAGTTAATGAACCTTCATAGCGGTAGTATTTTATAAGCTTTGTTTTGTCTGGAATAATTTTACTCAGTGCGAAAGGTGTTACCAATGCATTGCTACCTGTAATTAGAAAATACAAAGTGCTTCAACATTACCTGAAGGGAACAGATAAATATCTTCTGCAAACTACATCCTTGAGATGACAATGTACAAATATTGGGGCATGAACACTTACAATTATTTTTATTACTAATTTAACAAATGTACTAACCAGCTTATTATAATTGACTGTTACGTTACAACAGAGGAACAAGAAAACACGGTGAGTTTGATTATTGTCTTTGAATGTCATAATTTCAATGTCACTAAGAGTTTTGAGTTGCAGTATCATGTAAACGTGGAGAGTAATTTTAATGCTAACCCTAATCAAGTAATAGTCTGACAGTCAAACTCGAAGAGTCATACCTTACACAACTTCCCAGATAACAGTATTGTCATCCCTGGGTATGTCCTGACGCATAAACGGGGCAGACCCAGCAGAGCTAGTGGCACAGTGGTACACAATTAGGATTCCTGGGAATTCTCAACATTGACTCCACATCCATGAGGTCTCATGGCACACATCAAACATGGTTAGAAAGTCTCTTGTTGATTACCATGTATTAATCGCTTTTGGCTGATGAACAAGTACTACTTCGTGTGGAGGAAGCACTGAGGGTGACAAGGGTGCAGAATGTATTCTGGGAGGGAGCTTCAATGTCCAACACCAAGAGTGGCTTGGCAGCACCACTACTAATTGGGTTGCTTGGGTCTTAAGGGACATAGTTGCTAGATCGAGGCTGCAGCAAGTGGTGAAGGAAATATTAAGGGGGAGAAAAACCTATATTTGACCTTATCTTCATCAATCTGCCTGACACAGATGCATCTGTCCACGGCAACATTACTAAAAGTGACCATCACACTGTCCTTGTGGAGATAAAATCTCCTCTTTTCCTATCCATTGTGCTGTGTAATATTGTCACTGTACTAAATGGGATAGGGTACAAACAAATCTAATAACTCAAGACTGGGCATCTAAGAGGTGCTATGGGCCTTCAGCAGCAGCTGACGCTGAGTAACCCTGAAAAATGAGAGCATGAAGGACTGGCAGTAAAAAAGACAACAAAAGAAATGGAACAATGTAAATTAAATGTGAATAAATGAAAAGTGTCTTCAGTGTAACAAAGCAGGCTAGAAGATACTAAAATTAAAAAAGAGGGAATGGTGGAAACACTCCACAAGTCAGGCAGCATGTGAAGGGAAAATGAGTTATGGGTCCAAAATCTTGAAATATTTACTCTGTTTCTCTCTCCACAACACCTTCCTGAATTACTGGATCACAGCATCAGAATGATGAGCCATAGAATGATGCCAGTCAAATCATTCTGTCCATGTCTAATTGCATATGACTTCAGTTTGTCCGAATCCTCTCGGTTTCTCATCCTTATTTCCAGCATTTTCTGGTTTCATTTCAGATTTAAAGCATCACACGATTTTACATTTGCTTCGGAATGTGGATAAAATGAAAAATCATGTGGAATTTTGAATAGATCCTAAAAAAGAGCTGAATTGAGCTTCTCTGATAAACTGATGAGCACCAGAAGATTTCGAGTTTGATCATCGGTTAATGATATCTAATTTAGTTCTTCTCCCCTGGGGTAATTACAGAGGGCACTATAACCAAATCACTACAGAGCAAGTTCCTCATCTTAACACTGTAAGCAATAATTGCATTAAAATGCAAGCAAAAGATTTGCAAAGAGAATAGAGAAAAATGGACTGGACAGATAAATGGAAATTAAAATAATGGGCAATAAAACGATTATTGGAGTTGGCAATAGACACTGAGAAATAATTGGAATTTTGTAGAGATTTAGAAGAGAAAGGAAAATGATAACTGAAGGGAATAGCATAAATAATAATAAGATATAATTGGAAGGATTTTTTTTATAAACTGTTACTAGCACTTACCGCTATTTTTGATCATTTTCAGAAAATTGACCAGGTGCCTAATGTTAACATTCTCTGCAGGTGTTTCCTATAAAAATATAAAGAGATGACTGAACCATTTCTGATTTAGCCCCCTCCCCTGCCCCCGACCTTTGATGATTTCCATTGCCCTTAACAGGCTTTGCACCTAAATTATTCAACTGGAAACATGGGTAATTTACTGGTGGTGGTTAATGGATGGAGAAAAGTACCATGGGTGATTTGGTGTTGGGAAAAAAATGTTAAGTTGTGTGCAAGAGCACTACTGGATATAAAGGAGAAAAGAAAAAAATGAGTGAGAGCCAAGCCCAGAATGGAGATGGGAAACTAACAGAAGACCAACCGAACAGTAGGCTAGGAAGCAGAGAATTTGGACAAAGGGAGGATTTCTCACCTTAAAGCAGCATCAGATTTTGTGAGTACTGACAGTTGTTATGATCTGCAGACAGGGCACTAAACACCAAGAAAACAGCTAATTTATTTTTGATTAGAATGTAAGCTATTTCAAGATCACTGGAGTGTAGCAGGTTGAGAAGGACCTTATAGAAGTTTATAAAATCATGAGGGGTATAGATAGGGTTAATGGTAGTTGTCTTTTCCCTAGGATGGGGGATCTCAAGACTAGGGAGCACATTTTCAAGGTGTGAGGAGAGAGATTTAAAAAAAGCATGAGGGGTAAATTTTTTACAAAGGCTGCTTTGCATGTGGAATGAAATTCCTCAGGAAGTGATGGATGTGGGCACAATTACAATGTTTAAAAGACATTTGTGTAAATACTCCAATAGGAAGAGTTTGGAGGGATATGTGCCAAAAGCAGGCAGGCGGGACTAGTTTATTTTGGGATTACATTCGGCCCGGACTGGTTGGACTGAAGGGTCTTTTTCCGTGCTGTATAACTCTATGACTCTATAAAATACTTTCTAAGATTATCTTAATCAAAAATAAAAATGGCCAAAGTGCATTTGCAGGCAGTATAAGAAGTGGAAAGTAACGATACTCTTTTCTGACAGTTAAGACATAACTAACAATCTCTCATAACAACAATTGAAAAGACCGTGTTATTTGAAAGTAGTTTCAATTTACACTGACATAAAGTCAGAGGCAAATGTCTTAAGTGGCATGTTACAAAGTTTTTAAGGCAGAATTATAGATAGCAGAATTCTCATTCTGGATGGGGCAGCCAGTCACATCATTACTAAACTACAACTGTTCAAACATTGATCATAGCATGATGCAATCAGTTTGAAATGAGAAACCTGGGTCAAAAACTACCGTGTTTAACTTAAATAAAGGGAATTATAATGAAACAAGGATAGAGTTAATTAAAGTGGATAGATTAGCAAGAAAAACAGTAAGCAAGCAGTGACAAATATTTAAGCAGGTAACTCATGACTCTCAGCCAAAATATGCCCCAGTAAAGAAGAAAGATTCTAAGAGAGATAAACCAGCTATGACTAACCAATCAAGTTAAGGAGAGTACTAAGTTGAAACAAAAAGCATATAAAGGAAGCAGAAGTTGGTGAAAGTGACGAAGACCAGGATGAATTCAGAATCTGGTAAAAGAGGATTTAAAATATAATAAAGAGAGAGAAGATAAACTACGAGGGCAAACCAAAAAGAATACAAAAACTAACAATAAGAGCTTCTTTAAATATATAAAAAGGAAGAGATGAATAAGTGAACATAGGCCCCATAGAAAATGAATCTGTGGAGATAGTTATGGGGAAGAAGGAAATGGCAGGGAGTTAAGCAGATGGTTTGCATCAGTCTTTACAGTGGAGGATACTTCAAATATCCCATTAAGTCAAAAAAAAGGGAGGAATTAAGTACCATCACCATCACTAAAGAATTAGTATTAGATAAACAAATGGGAGTTAAAGGTAGATAAGTCCCCTGGCCCTGATAACTTACATCCTAGGATCCTTAAAAAAGTAGCTACAGAGCTTATGGATGCACTGGTTGTAATTTCCTTATTCTGGAGAAGTGCCAGAAGATTGGAGAACTGCTAAGGTGATATCCCTAGTTAAAATGTGAGGGAAACAAAAAGAGGATAATTATAGGACAATTACCTTGACATCTATGGTCGGAAAAATGTTGCAAATAATTTTAAGGAAATAATCTGGCACATTTGGAAAAGCTTAATCTAATCATGGAGAGTCAGCATGGCTTCATGACAGGAAAATTGTGTCTGACTAACTTATTAAAGTTTTGAGGAAGTCTCAACCAGACCAAATAGAGGGGAACCAGTAGATGTGTTGTATTTAGACTTCCAGAAGGTGTACCTTCCAAAAGATTAAGAGATAACAGCCCATTGTGTTGAAGGTGACATATTTGTATGGATAGAGAATTGATTAATGGGCAGGAAACAGTGAGCGGGGATAAGAGGTTCTTTTTAGTTTGGAGACCTGTGACAAGTGGGGTTCTGCAGGGATCAGCAGTGGGACTGCAACTGTTTACAATATACATTAAAGGCTTGGAGGAAGGAAACAAATGTACTGTAGTTTATTTTGCAGATGACACAAACATAAAAAAAAGACACGTTGCAACAGAGATACATAAAGTTAAGAGATAATGACAGGTTAAATAGTAGGCAAAAAGTTGGTAGATGGAGTTTTATACGGGAAAATGTGAAGTTGTTCATTTTGGAAAGGATATTTAAATGGAGAAAAACTGCAGAAAGTTGCAATACAAAATGACTTGTGAACAAAACACACAAAACACAGGTGCAGCAAGTATTCAGGAAGGCTAATGGAATGTTGGCCTTTATTTCAAGGGGGTTGGAGTATTAGAGCAGGGAAGTCTTACTGCAACTGTACAAGGTGCTGGTGAGACCACATCTGGAGTACTGTCAGTAGTTTTGGTCCCCTTATATAAGTAAAGATATTATTTCATTGGAGGCAGTTAAGAGAAGATTCACTAGGATGATCCTCAGTATGGAGGAATTGTCTTACGAGCAAAGATTAAACGGGTTGAGACGGAACTCACTGGAATTTAAAAGATGAGAGGTGATCTCACTGAAACATTTGGAATTTTAAGGACAAATGCAGAGAGAATGTCTCCCTCATGGGAGAGTCTAAGACCAGACGGCATAGAATCAGAATAAAGGGGCACCAGTTTAGACTGAGATGAGGATGAATTTCTTCTCTCAGAGGACTGACAGTCTTTGGAACTCCTTACTTCAGACGGCTGTGGGGACAGAGTCCTTGCACGTACTTAAGGTTGAGATATATTCTTGATCTGTTAGGGAATCAAAAGTTATGGGAAAGGGCAGGAAAGTGAGTGTAAGGAATGTCAGAGCAGCCATAATCCTTCTGAATGGCACAGCAGGCTCAAGGGGCTGAATGGCCTTCTCCTGTTCCTATTTCTTATCATCTTAATGTATGCAGTTCTACCAGATGGAGTAAAGTATCAGGGATCCATTGTGTTGTATTTGAACCAATTCTTTGAATATTAAATCTAATTCCACAGTGAAAATGTTTGAGCTGTGGTCTCTGTTACAACTTGCTGAAGCAACACCTAGTAGTAGCAGTCTAAGAACTGAGGAACAGTACTCACACTGAACAGAAATCCCAGCACAGCCACACCATCAGAATGTTTTAGAGCATTTGTCAAGGAACTGTATTTTTCATTGTGGTGGACTATATGCATCTGCAGAAGACAGATTCAGGATGGTCACAAATCACTGAATGTTCTTTAGTAACTATAATTTTAATAAACATACAGCAAGGGTAGCACCACGATAAGAGTATTTATATTTATATTTATGCTACTTAACAGAATGGGGCCATGTAGCTGTAATCGAACACTAATATTTGGGGATATCTCATGCTGCAAAAATAATAGGAAAAAGGTTGAATTACAGTTTGCACTCAGCAATTAACATAGAAGACAAAGCTCCCAGGTATTTGAGAGATTATTTCAATCTTTCTGAAATAGGGAAGGATTTTGGCCCATGCAAATACTACTCGAGTTCATTTTGGTTCACTTAGAATGAATTTCACTTGAGGAATGTATTAGAACACAACAAAATGAGGTTCTGTCTCAAACATAGCTTTTGAAGATACAATTTCAATGACTTTACAAGTTAAAAAAATCTGAATAGGAAGCAGATATTCAAGGTAACAGGCTAACATTAAGTCTCCACTTAAGCTATTCTCACTGGGAATATTCCAGACAGTAAATATTAATGGCTGACTAAATATCGTGATTGTAAACATTTCCACATTAGCAGCAAATCATTTTATCCTAAACATCATCAGCAACTTTTAGGAAAGGTGAAGGAAAATACAATAGGGGAGGGATATTATCCTTAAAGATAAAAGAGCTACATTCTAGCTTTTCTGAACTGAATTCTGATCTGTTTTATTTTATGGGCATTCAGTTAAATTGAAGGTGTATGTGTCTTACCTCCATAGGATACTGATGCCCATTTATCATATGCTCTGACCCAGCAGATGACTCTGATCCCCAATGAAAGTGGAACTCAACTGCCTTGTATGTATTTGGAAGGTTTCCACCTTTAATTCTGATGTTTCCTTTTAACGCCATTCGAACTATAAGCAAGAAACAACAGTAGCGAAAAGAAACAAAAATAAATATGTCAACAAAAGTTCACAAGTGATAAGCCTCTAACTTTGCTAAGCATGTCTATGTTTTGAAGTTTCCCTTTACAATAGGGTTTCTAACTCTGATTGCACACATTCCGTCACAGAGCCACTCATCTCTAACAGCCCCAGCCAGTCAAAGGGCTTCTTTTTCATTTTCCAAACCTTACGTCACTAACAAACTAAAGTACTTAAAGAAAATGAAAGAACACACAATTTGTTTCAATATCCCAGTAGACAGAAAATGTTTTGACATTGTGTAATGTTCTCATTTTTTTGAGTTTAGACACAAAGTATGATAATTACAATTAAAGTCAATAAAGAACTCAAGATAAACTCTTCACCCATTGAGTTGAAAACTAAAGGATGTCTACAAAGTTTACCATTGCTAAACATACCAGTCAAATAAAATAAACAACTGTGCTCTCAGGTTAAACATTCTAACACCTTAAGGTCTTTTAAACCTGTCTGCATCACTGTAATTTTTAAATTTATTACCTGTGTTCTCATGTATTTGTTCTCGGCACATTTTTAATATAATTTAATGGGGTTAGTAAATAAAATTCCCCTCACTCAAGAAAACCCTGTAAGTGGCTCCTTCATTTTAATGCAATTAACTTCATCTTTAATTGACATGTGACATGCTAAGAGAAATAAAAATATTTATTGGGACTGACCAAAAGGTGCTTAGAAAAAGGGAGCCAATACTCACTCCTTTCTTGGTCAAAACAAAGATTAGATGAACACATGGCTTATGTGATATCAGATCTGTTGTGCAAAATAGAATGCAGAGTACAGAAACAGGCTAGGATAAAAATAAGATCAAATTTCCACACCAATGACAACAAGGCAAGAAATGAATGGACATGCTTTTTGATCTTCTAACTTTTGATCTTTTCCTCAAACATAATGTAACTTGTGTATGACTGTGCTCTCTGGCAATGATTTCCACGCAGTCTGAGTTTGTAATTCCACCAAACTGCAAGTAGGGCTCCAATGGGGACATGGCTTTGCGATATTTCTTCTTTTTGATCCTATTTGATAGAATTAATCTGAAATGATAACAGATTTTACCAAGGTAAAGCAAAACTTTCCATCATTTCTAAATAATGAGTGGCAAGAGTGCAATCAACTGAGCTATAGCTGACCCATTATACCCTTTAGCTGCTCTATCCTTCAACCCTTCATTTTATTCTATGCATTTTATCCAGTCCTTATTGGAATTTGCTGCTACCACTCCTTGAGGGGGGGCATTTTAGACCAAAGTACGTCACTGCATAAAATATGTTTCTGAACGTCACCTCAGGTTCTTTTGTGTACTCTTGGGCTGCAAACTCTCAAAACACAATGAACATAAAAGCCTTTAATATTTTGAAGTCTCTAATAAATCTCCCTTTAACTTTTTCTCTAGTTTTATCACGAGTGAAGACCCTCATCACTGATACAGTACCAATTAATCTTATCCCCGACCGCCCCACAACTCTCCCCACCGCCCAAAACGCTTCATAAGATATGCTGTCCAGAATAGTTACAATACTCCAGCTGGGTCCTTCACAAAAGATTTTACATAACCTGTTTTTGTACTCAATGAGACCCCTGAAGAAGGGTCTAGGCCTGAAACGTCAGCTTCCCCGCTCCTCTAATGCTGCTTGGCCTGCTGTGGTCATCCAGCTCTGCACCTTGTTATCTCAGATTCTTCAGCATCTGCAGTTCCTACTATCTTTGTACTCAATGACACTATTTATAAAGCCAAGGATTCATCTGAACTGGGTGCCTCTTCCACTTTGAGCACTACCAGCTTTAAGTCTCCGCTTTACCACTTTAGTTAATTGTCATACAATTCATCCTCCACAGTGTCTAGTAAATCCTTATAGTAAATGATCTGAACTTCAGCCAGTTTATCTGTCTCCATCACACCTGTTCTGATGGTACTACCTTCTGCAGTTGGGGGCTGGTCTCAGAAATGTCCACCTATTTCGTCAACTGAGGATTCCCCACTACTGTAATTAACAAGGTTCTCAGCCCTGCCTGGCCCATTTCCCACACTTAAGCCCTCATTCGTTTTACAACAGCGATAGGGTTCCCCTGACCCTCACTTACCATTCCACCAGCACCAACATCCAAAGGATCATTAGCTGCCATTTCCACTACCTCTAGAGGAATGCCACTACCACACACATATTCCCCTCCACTCCCTTGTCAGCCTTCTGTAGTATCCATTCCATCCAGGACACCCTGGTCCACTGCTCTTCCATTACCAGCACCTCCCTGTACTCATACAGCATCTTCCCATGCAATCGCAGAAGGTGTAACATCTATTCATTTACTAACTTCCTCTTCCCCATCCAAGGCCCCAGATACACCTCCAAGGTGAAGCAGCAATTTACCCGCACTTCACTCTATCTGGTCTCCTGTATTTACTGCTCATAACGTGATCTGCTCTACATTGGAGAAACAAAACACTAACAGGGCAACTGCTTTGCGGAACACTTCGATTCTCTCCAAAAAAGTGACACTGAGCTTGCAGTTGCTTGCCACCTCAACACAACAAATTGCTAGTTCCATTGCTAGCTTCAGCTATATAGTCAAGTCTTATTTTCTTGTTGCTTTCTCAAATATAACATCTCTGCCTCGAACTTGCTGCAGTGCTACTGCGAGCCTAAGCCTAAGCTGGAAAAACAGTATCTCATTTTCTCCTTGGGAACTCTGTAGCCTTCAGGACTCAGTATCAAATTCAATAATTTTAGAACCTGAACACCTTCCTCTATGTCCTTTATACAGGTCCACAGCCCAGGCCCTGTCATCACATAGCTGCTTTCAGCACAGCCAACCCATTTTCACCTACTGATGGCCCCCGTTGGCAGCTTTTCTTTCTCCAGGCTTACCACTATCCATTTCTTTGGCTGCTCAACTGCTATTCTGTCTCTCTACACTCCATCTCTACCTATCATTCACTCCATTCCCCTCCCCCTTCCGCCCCATCCTTGGTCTCAGCATAAATACCATCCTTTCCTAGTTACCAGCAGTTCTGAAGAAGGGTCACTGGACCCAAAACATCACTCTGCTTTTTCTCTACAGATGCTGCCAGACCTCCTGAGTTTTCCCAGCAATTTCAGTTTTTGGTTTGAATGTCTAGAACTTACATGTGTGGCCATCGTTTTCGACAATCCACATTTCAGTTGTATTGGGTTTATCATAGCCCTCAAATACAATGGGAGCTAATCTTGTATCAATTTTAGCATCAGCGGTTACAATATTGATGGGAGACTGCTTCAGCCTTCCACACGCTGGATAATCAGTCTTCCAGGTGCTAGATCCTAGAAAGGATGTTACAAATCAGTTAGCAGAGCACACAGTGTAGTTCTATATAATAGCATTCAATGTTCATTTGGCGTAGGGTATCACTATCATCTCTCCATCAAGGAGTTACAGGTCAGGACCTAGATCAGGGTTTGACCATCTAACTAAGATTGACAGTGCAGCTCAGTTCAGAAAGACTGCTGTATTGTCATAGTGAGAGAGAGATATTTCCCTCCCTACCCCTATCTGCCTTTCAGTGGAACTGCCCCCTCCACGACTCCCTCATCTGCTCCTCACTCCCCATTAACTCCACCACCCCCGGCACCTTTCCCTGCCACCACAGGAAGTGCTACACCTGCCCCTACGCCTCTCGCCTCACCTCCATTCAAGGCACAAAACAAACCTTCCACATTAGACAGGGGTTCACCTGCACATCCGTCAACTTGGTCTACTGTATCTACTGTTCCCGACGTAGCCTCTTCTATCGGTGAGACCAAGTGTAGACTCAGAAACTGTTTTGTAGAGCATCTGCGCTCTGAACATGACAAATGACAAAACCTTCCGGTCGCAAAACACTTTAACTCCCCCTCCCACTCCCTGGGTGACATGTCCATCCTGGGCCTCCTCCAGTGTCACAGGGACACCACCCACAAACTGGATGAGCAGCACCTCATATTCTGCCTTGAGAGCCTACAGCCTGACGGCCTAAACATGGATTTCTGCAGTTTTAAAATCTCCCCAACCCCGGCCTCATTCCACTCCAACTCTCCCTCGCATCCCCGCCTCCTTGACCTGACATAACCTGTCCATCTTCTCTCCTACCTATCGGCCCTTCCCATCCCACTGACCAATCCCCGCCACTCCCTACCTGCCCTCACCATCCCACCTACCTTCTCCAGCCCCCACCCTCTTTTCTCTATTTATTTCTGAGCTCCCTTCCCTCTCCCCATTTCTGAAGAAGGGTCCCGACCCAAAAAGTCAACTTTCCTGCTCCTCTGATGCTGCCTGGCCTGTTATGCTTCTCCAGCTCCATGCTGTGTTATCTCTGTATAATCACAGTGTTGCAACTTGTTGAGGTAAATAAAGGTCCCTATTGTCGGTTCAGATGATTTTAAAGGTTCCATAATAATACTTGAGGAAGAGTATGGAGTCTGGATTAACATTTATCCCTCAACCAAGAGAAATTATTTGGGTCATTTATCGTGATGTTTGTTCAATATCACTGCAGCCTTTTGACTGCAGCCTTCAGAGAAAAGAATAACAGTAATTGCACTTCAAATAAATATTTAAATTGCTGGAAAGTGCTTCGGTACACTTAATAATTGCTTATTAAAAATTCAAAAACAAAATAAATTTAATAAAACAAAATTACAAAATTCTTGAAAAGGTCAGTCATTGTACATTGATTGTCATTGTTGTTCCTCAAAACAAAGATAATATCTGACCAGCCTCACATTGGGCTTAACTTAGAAGTGTTAAAATTTAAAAACAAATTTAAATGGATTTGAGGAAAGAACAAAAAAATGACTTGACTATAAAGCCGAAGCTAGCAACTGAACTAGTGATTACATATATGTAAAGGGGCAAAATGGTCTTCATCTTATTTATAATTCCATTGTTCAGTACAAAAGGATTGATCATCCCAGCAGTCATAGTGTTGGAAAATTTATTTCCCAATTAAGATCTTTTGATTTACAAGAAGTTGGTGATGAGATACACAAACAGAGATGCACATTGGGACTTGCCAGCTCTTGGTTGGAATAGTCAAAGGTTGAACTTCCAATGACCTATTTCTCTGCTACCTGGACCTTCTGAATCAAAGCAGGAGTCAGAGAATTCAGATAGTTCATACCTAATTATAGTTAGCCACAAAAATATTTAACGGACTATCACCATGTCTAACTTCTGGATAACAATATAATTGAATCACCTCAATCTCCCTTTGAGGCCCATCCAATGCCTTGGCCCCAACTCTCCTCCTCTCTCCCTGGGCTCACTAGACTTCAGCACCTGACCCCACCTTTGACCCCCCCCAACTCCCCCAACCACTGTCTTTCCCATAATCCGACTAGGCCCCACCACTCAAATCAAACCCCGAACACTTAGACTGTCTCCCAACCTGACCCGATAACCACCCAAACAAGTGACTACCCATCCAGCTGCCACCCCATCACTTCACCCACCCAATCCTTTCACTCAATCATCTGTTCACTGATACACTGATTCACTAACACACCAAAAAGCTGTTTAAACATCTCAAAGCTTTTCAGTTGTGTTAGGGAGTGCATTTACCATACTATACCATAAAAACGAGGACCTGTTTTGCTCCTCTGACAATTCAATGTTACAAAGAAAGATTCCAACAACAGATATTTGATGCATTTCTCAAGAAACCAGTTTGAAACTTACAGCCGGAAATGCAAAGCTCGTCCTTGTTGGACAAGTAGGGGGGGAGGGGCAATCAGGCCATGACTGCAACCATACAGAAGACCCTGGCCATAGTTTTCACTTTAACAAAATAGGAAAAAATGTGCAATAGTTTATTAAAATTTATTACAGCTGCTTTAACATGACTTTGTACTCGATGGAGATTTTTTTTTTTTATTCATCACTTCTAACGCATCACCAGATCTTACATTTTACTTGAAAAGACATTAGCTTCAAAATGACAGAGGTACAACTTGCTATTAATGCTTACCTTTAAAAGACAGTTATATTTTAAACAGTCTCCTTTAATTCAAAGTTTGGGAGTGATTACAATCCTTATAGATTTAGTCCAAGATAAACGCAAGTGACCTGCTTCTAATTGCAACAGAAACTCAAATCAAGGATAATTGAAAGGAAGGTGCACAATTTAATATTTTGACACAAAGAAGGAGGCATTCGGTCAGGTTACGTACAGACTCAGGGTGGAGTTTTTCCCTGAACAAAGTGGGTAATGGTGAGACAGATAGGGAAATACAGCAAACATGGAAATTTGAGATTCAAGATGGCAAGAAATGTCCAAATTTCCACAAGGTTTCAACAGTAAGATGAGAATCCTGCTAGTAAGCAGCAGGAGAGAGAAATTAGACAGCACATTTCCTCACTTGGAATTCAGAGCACTTATTTGGTGACTTCAGCTCACTGGGATCTTCTCCAGGCACTTATCTTGGCCAGCATTTGGTAGTGACCACATGGCCCCTACATCCATGAAGGTTGGAATCTCCCAAGCACCAGCCTCACCACATCATCATGGCACATCTCCAACTCATTCATAATATAGAGATAGTAGGAACTGCTGATGCTGGAGTTTGAGATAACAAGATGTGGAGCTGGTTGAACACAGAAGGCCAGGCAGCATCAGAGGAGCTGGATGAACACAGCAGATCAGGCAGCATCAGAGGAATAATCCATAATACAGTTCACTTCAATGTTGCACTTTAAAGTTCACTGACATGATTCATTGCAATGCTGTTACCGGGTTGTTTTGCATGCAGAGATAGGCACCCATCTCATACATCAGAACAGGGTGTAGCTCAGGGCTTTTAACTTGCTTTTTTAGTGCACTGTCACTGCCCCTACTTGGATACATTTCTGCCTTGCTTTTTCGCACATTGTCACTTCATTCAGAATTTACAGGCTCAAAATAGTTCTGTCTTGCTTTGCCTTTTAGCTCAGACACAAAGCCTAACAGCCTGTCATGTTTGCCAGCAATGATCAGTCAATGGAGTGGACATGATATAGCCTGGTGCTATGCACTAACATGATGTATATGCAGCGTGTACCAGTAGCAAACACACTGAATGTGTTTCATTCAAATGGCCATGTCTCAAAAGGGAGTAGGCATTGAAGTCAAGGGGGTTTGCGGTCGATCAGGGGAGACCAACACAATCAGTGAAGGATATTGAATGATATCTGTCCACATACTCGGACATGGTCATTTGGCTTCTTGGGGCATTAACTACAGCCCACTAATTGGGCCATGGCTAGTCCTGCAGGCTACGTCAAACAAATCTGGGGATTAGCAGAAAGTCAGTCAGTGAGCTATACAGCTATCAGTCATCTGTCAGGGTTGTCCTTCCAAATTGGTCAGTTGGACCATAATCAGTGGGCCACTGGTATTTTGTTCACTGAAAGTCAAGAGAAATTATCAGAAGGCACTGTTGTAGTGGGAAAGTTGGGGATTGGAGGCAGCATGTTGGGATGCAGTGGGGATGATCATTGTGAAGGGAGGCAACTAACATGTTAACATATGAGAATGGGAGATAAGTGTGGGAGAGTGTAGGTTACCGCAGGAGGGGTGGAGGGCAACTGACAGTCAACACCACCATGGCTTTGATGGGGGAACACCACATCATGATGTTTGGCAGAACTCATCTGTAGGCTAGGGCTCAAGGAGCAAAGCAGGGAAATAGAGTTGAATAAAAGAGTTTGGTGGGAAGCAGGGAGCCTTAAATCTTATTGAGTTGAGAGGGAGTGCAAGGCAGAAAGGAACATGATGGTTTAGGAGCTCATCTAAATTGACAAGCAAAGTCTGCAACTCAATCCATGAAGACCTACCCATGTTACCTTCCATCCTCATCCACTTGCCATGTCAATTGCAAATATATGACAGAAATGAAAAACGGCTGACACCAGTAAGAGTAGAGTAAGTGCAGCTTTTGTCTGAGGCTGTGGGCTCTACTTGTGTGCAATGTGAGGCCCTCCAAAGGGCAAATGCATTAATCGAGCACTTACACAGTACAGGTTAAAAAGATACCTGTAGTCACGAAATTCTGCGCATGAACCTCATGCAGCAACCATCTACATCAACTAAAAATCTTGGCTACCAACAATCTTGACCATGCTATGGATCAATTTGAAATGGTCGAAGTCATAGCTATGAAGCAGAACTTATGTCCGGCAAGTATAAATTTTCACCAACATTCCACAATTCACAATCACATTCCAACACATCTCATAGCCTGTAGAAGGTCCAGGAGCTGCCCACCGTACCTATTGGACTGTAATATGTCCACACCATTATTTTTTATACAATGCTGCTTTGCGAGTGTGACACATATCCTAGCACACTGTTGCACTCAATTGGAACACATGACAAGGGGATGGGATGAATGATGAGGATCTGTAAGAGCCACAGCGTGGTACAGAGTAGGAAAATGATGTTCATCAGAGGAAACATCCTACAGCATCTTACACTGTGACAGTGTCAGCCACAACACGAGACAGGAGTCCTTTGGCAGCCACTTTCAACGGAATGGAGTCAGGTGAAGTAATTATTTATTAAATTTAAACGTATTGATGATGGCATCCCAGTTTAATCCTGAAAATGCACCACAATGGTTTGTTCTTTCATCACTTTTCCTGTTGTTTGATACAAATTAATATTACCAACTAATGGAAGCCTTTGCAATATGTCATACTCTCTCATTCAATAATGACAAAATGTTATGCTAGTTTGGGCATGATGAAAAAAAAACAGCTATTCTTCAGACAGGGTTAGAAAATTGAGCATTCTGCTGACTCTCCATGGCAGCTGCCAACCCGTCCATTGAGACAGCCAGACATACGCATGCCAGAGGCAGCATGGTACCAATAGCATTGATGGATTCTTCCAACCAGTTTACTTCAATTCAGTTTATTGAGTGCATCTGACAAACCTGTTTGCTACTGCTCCCATGCATTTTTAGGAACTTGTAAATGGCCAAGGGTCTTCTATATGGGGCTATGCCGGTGCCTGATCTCTGACAGCCCTCCGTCAACCAGAGAGCCAGGGCATTTCTTCTTTAGTCAGCTCTGGAGATGTGTTCACCAGAATGTTTTTGGTTTTTTTTCCTTTATTCATTCATGGATGAGGGCATCGCTGGCTACGCAGTATTTATTGCCCATCCCTAATTGCCCATAGGGCAGTTAAGAGTCAACCACATTGCTGTGGGTCTGGAGTCACATGTAGGCCAGACCAGGTAAGGATGGCAGTTTCCTTCCCTAAAGGACAGTAGTGAACCAGGTGGGTTTTTTCCAACAACCGACAATGGATTCACGGTCATCATTAGATTCTTAATTCCAGATATTTATTGAGTTCAAATTCCACCATCTGCCGTGGCAAGATTCGAACCCAGGTCCCCAGAATGTGATTTGGGTCTCTCGATTAACAGTCCAGTGATAATACCACTAGGCCATCACCTCTCATCTCTAATCTAGCTGAAGTTCCCAGAGGAGTGTCAGTATGAGAGCAGGTGGAGGGTGCTGGATGCCAGTGCATCCTCTAAAGAACATGTGATTTCTTCCTCAGAGGTGGAGGTGGTGGTTTTGGCTGGAGGCAGGACTTCATGGTAGAGACTGTGTGGACGAGACACGTGCCCCAAAAGGCAAAAGAGAGAATGATTTGCGAAATAGGGACTGAGTTTAGCTATGATAAGAATACATTCACAGTTGCAGTGAAAACCACAGCACTTGACATTGAATCTTATTTTGTTGCCAGGACATGGAGGTCTCAGTATCATCAAACGTGTGGTCATTGTCTTCTCCTGCAAAGGTGAGCATTCTCTTCTCATAGGAAGTAAGCAAACCAATGTCAGTCACCTCAACACCCACCCTGATCCTCTGCCTTACTGTGGGCTGTTTTATCTTGGAATGAAACAAGGGCAGGGATTGAGTGAGAAAGATCAGGCTGGCACATTGGTGCTGGTGAGGGAAATGGTGGTGAAGTGTCCCAAGTAAATGATAGGGAAACACAGATGACAGGAAAGGTTAGTAGTTCGATGGGGAGAGGGTGGGAACAACTTAGGGACTATGGACACCACACTGAGCCAGTGGCAACATCAGAGCAGCCTGGTGGGCCCTGGTACCATGGTCCCATCGGTGATCCCAAAGAAAAAGAGCCATCCTACTTTCCACCAACTTGTCAACCAGGATCATGTTCCCTTAAACTCCATAGTTGTGTGATACAACTGTGTGGCTTACTAGGTCAGACAACAATTAAGAGTCAACTCCATTGCTGTGGTTCTGGAGTTACATGAAGGCCACACCAGGTAAAGATGGCAGTTTTTCTTCTGTGAAAAGCATTAGTGAACCAGTTGGATCTTTACAGCATTGGTTACTTGGTCACTTTTAGGCTAGCACTTAATTTCAGATTTTTACTGAATTCACAATTCATCATCTGCAATTGAGAGATACAACCCATGCCCCCGAAACACTAGCCCAGGACTCTGAATTACTAATCCAGCAACATTATCACCATGCCACCCTAATTCTTGCTATGTATAGAATAACCATTTCTTTTTCTTCATTCATGAAATTTTAATCAGCTTAGATGATACTGAAAATAATTATATTACTAATTAAACAATAGCAGGCTAAAGAGTAATTATTGTTATTTAACTAGCATTATGAGCTTTTTAGTTCTAATGTTATTCTTTTTGATTTTTTTGTGAAGTTGTCTATATTTTCCTTATAATAGTGTCTCCATTTTTAATATGAATAACAATACAGATAATTTGAAAATTATACGTGTGTTAGTGCATACATTTTTAACATGTTTATGACAGAGAAGAATCAGTTCTACAAGCTGCCACCAAATACAGTGACTTTAATCCTTACCACAGCTGGTGTTCTGGACATCATAGCACCAATTAGCTGGACAAAATAAAACAAAGTCAGTTTCCTTCTTAAATTGTCTCCAATAAATTCTGCAATGCACTACTTCTGAAAGATTCTACATTACATTCTTAGTTACTTTTTCATATTATTTAAAGCCACCTTCAACTAACCACCCCCTCCTCCACCACTGTGACATACGTTGGGAACCTGAACAAATTTACAAAAATTCTCAAACAAATTCTTGGGTCAGAGATACATATTAATGTAACCTTCCTGTATAATTAAAATACAATGCACTGGGCTCATTATTTTGAGTGGTTAATGGAAACATGACATACAGAATTGTTCTTATTATGCCATACATCAAGAATAGTCTAAGGGTAAAGTCATCATAGACCTACTGGACCACAGAGCTGCTCTCTCATTAGAAAGAAACAACTGGTGGTTGTTTAATCTGAGGGTCACCAGACCTTAGGTGAGGGGAGAGGATGAGAAGGGTGTTCTTTCATGATAACCTCTGCTGGTGTGGCGATTGAACCCATGCTGTTGGTATGAACAAACCAACTGTCCAGACTACAGAGCTAATACCACGACTGACCATCCTCCAGTAAGTAAGACAATTGCTATTTTCCATCCATTAACCAACTTTTTCTTTGTCTAAACTCATATTGACCATCCTATTCTATGATCCTCAATTTTATTAACCAGCCTCTTTATGTGATAAAACAAAGAACTGCGACGCTGGAAATCTAAAACAAAAGCAAAAATTGTTGTAGAATCTCAGGAGGTCCAGCAGCAAATGTGGAGAGAAAGCAGATTTAATGTTTTGGGTCCAGTGTTCTGAAGAAGGGTCACTGTTGATGAAACTTTCACTCTGCTTTCTCTCCAGGGATGCTGCGAAACCTGCTCAGTTTTCTCCAGCAATTCTTATTTTTGTTATTTTTATGTCATATTTTGTGAAAAGCTTTGTCAAAGTTCACACAATATCCATTTCAATCTCACCCATCTGTACTACTACTTCACCAAAACATATCAATTCGATTGGTCGAAAACAGTACAAGCCCGCTGGCTTGGCTTGAATTAACTCAACAGTATGAGCAAACTGGAGTTAAAAGGGCCAACCTGCAGCTATAATTGGGATGTCCTTACAGCCTTTCATGAACAAGGGGTCAGGTTTGGTACTTCCCAAACTTTTGGTACCTCTCCCAATATTTAATAAGGATTTGAAGATCCATCTCCACTCCAGCCTCCATCAGTGACCAGGGATGCAAACCCTGCTGACCAAGTGACTCACCAAATCCGAAGCCTAGCAGATTCTGATGGAAACTGTCTCCAATTGAAGCATCACCACGAACAGGAGACTTACCTGCTTCCAAACTCGGGAAGGACAAACAAAAGCTCAAGAGCAACAAGGAAAGGGAGTGCATTCTCTCGTCCTTTTTCCCCTTTTGTCAGTTCCTCCTGTGTCAAAAGTGAGGGATGCAATGGATTTGCAGGAACTGAGCGCTGGCTCCTGCCTGGGGCTTTTTAATGTCTGGCCGGGACAGTCGGAGCTGCCACAAGATGCCGAGCTCCTCCCCCTGGATCCACCTCTCAGCAAATTGCCTCAGAATGGAGCCGGCAACAGGGCGCAATGCGGGAGGGGCTAGCGATCTGAGTTCCGGGCACTGGGTTTATTTTGATGGCGTTTCACATTCAGCTCCGCTCGCAGGACGGTCCCTTCGTCAGTTTCCAGGAGTAAGAGTGAGCTCGAGTGGCGAGGTTGCAAACGGCACCCTTTAAACTAAAACACTTGTCAGTTAGAGAGCAATGTCGCTTTCTTAAAACTAAGAAAACTTTAATAACGACAAAAAGTTAAAAGTGACTTGACTACCATGACCTATGAAAATGCGTAGCCAAAACAAAACAATGATCTCAGTTTTGTGTTGTAACCGCTGTACCAAATTGCCATTTACTGCCAAGTGCAAACCAGTGGGCTGGGGACTGGGGAGAGGAGAGGATATTAACAGAGGTGGTGGGAGGTGGACTCGAGACCTGAGTTCAGTGTTCAAATCTAAAAGAACATCTCAGAATTTCACCCTTGTAATCCAAATGGTTGCATCTATTTATATTTTAGAAATTTCCAATACTATGACCAATTGCTAGGGCACAGCTTGTGACAAATAGTCCAGGAAGCAGGGCTGCTGAATGTTTATTTATAAGTGTCTGAGATAATACCAGGCAAGTTAGCAGTGAGTTGTGATCTTCCTCATTACGTGTTGTGACAAAGTCACATCAACACTTTAACTTACTCACATTAAATTCCTCTAGTGTGGTTATTATCTGCTCTGGTTTGTAATAATGGGATAAATTTGTTTGTAGAATTGGGTGTATGTGATCTGACTGCATTAAGAGTTCATGTAATAATAGATAAAAGATGTCTTTTGTAATTTTTTTCAAATTTGAGGTTTAGAATTCAAAATAGTGACATATGGGTGTTGTTTACATTTGCAAAGGGGTTTCCTTTAAAAAAAAGTCCTTCCAAAAGTCTCCATTCTGTATTGTACAGTGGTCCCCTACGATGTTAATGAAATGTGTTTATTCAGTTAAAAAAGAAACAAAAGAACGGCAGACACTATAAATCAGGAACAAAAACAGAAATTGCTGGAAAAGCTCAGTAGGTTTGGCATCATTTGTAGAGAGAAATCAGAGTTAACGTTTCGGGTCGAGTGACCCTTCCTGTGTTTATTTGGTGGTGGTTTACCACAGGTTGTTAAATGCTATCAGCATGTTTTTGGTTCAAAATAATCGAGAATTGGTGTCAGTTTAGAAAACGCACAGGACTGAATATTTTTAAGGCAATTCAGAGAAGATCTTACTGGCCTCAGAACCAAGTTTAGTTTTCTTTCTTTACAGGGTCTCAGGACTGTTTAGGGAATAGGTTATCTCAGTTGAAAAGTTTAGATTGTTTTACTTCCAAACCAGGAGAGTTTGAGTTAAAATCTGCAGTCTATTAGAACTGAGGAAGAGTGACTGACGGAGTTGTGGAAGAATCATGTTGGCAGATTTGGTAATGACTTATCAAGTTGTCTCCATAATCCATAGCAAAGAAACTGTCAGGATCACCGAAGTAGAACCATAAGGATTTGCAAGATGGCTTTGAATCTCTATAAATGGATTCTAATGGGAATAGGCTGTAAACTTAAATTGCTGCATGTTTTAATGGCTTTCTCACTATGTTACATATTTAAATAGCTTGCATTTTTATTTATCATTTGCGTAGTAAATTGTTGCTCTCCTCACAATATCCTAGTGGCAGGGTACTTAAGTATTAGGAAAACATAAAATATTAAGACATTGCTATGAGCCAAGATTACTTAAACATGTTGTCATTTTTTTGCCAGACATGCCACACATGCCACACATGGCAGGTAGTGAAAAACCCTAACCATCAAGTAAAACTGCACCTTCAATCTCCATACCAGCTTCTGAAGAACTATTCAATTGGGTCTTAACAGATTGCATAGAGCTCCTACCTAAAGTCGATAATGAGTATCCGTATATTTGAACAATAATAGATGTTTCATAAAAATTTCCTGAATTAGTGCCTTTTGGGGAAAAAAAATTGTAAAAATGGTAGTGGAAAAGTTAGTTCAATGTTGAAGATAAGGTTTCTCAGTGAAATACAATCAGATCAAGATTCAAATTTAATTCATAGATATAAAAGAAATAACGAACAGTTTAAGAATAGAATAATTTACATTTTCTACTTATCACCCACAATCTTGAGGGACATTAGAAAGATGGCATCAAATTTTTAAAAACCTGGTTACACCTATTTCACTTTGCAGTTAACTCAGTGTTTTTCATGATGTTAACAAAATGCTGCCCTCAAGCCAAAAAGCTGTTTTACCTACAGAGAAATGAGTAATGTGAGTAATAAGCTTCAGTGTTAATGTGATGCCAAATATGTAAGCTGTATGTCCTAGTGACTGGCAGCCCATATCAAAGAACACGTCCCATTGAACCTTTGCAGGCTGATCATGTTCAACCACCCCATGCTTGCTAACCTGTACTAAGAATTACAGCAGAAACCAATTTAGAAGTATCAGGCAGGCTCCCAGTGTGCTAGTAATACACAGAACACTGTTTTATGTAGGCAAAAAGATTTGTACATCCAATGCATATTTTTCATTGAACAAAAGAGATCGTGGAAACTGCCAGTCTCAATTGCATTCCTATTGCAGCACCACAACCAATCAGAATCTATCTGCCTGGTCTGAAAACTAAGATTGACAGTTAATTGTTCTTGCCGCAGCTCCATGCCAACAATGGCCAAACCAATCAGCTCCCTCTTCTTTGTTCTATAAATTGGTGACCCTTTATTCAAGTATGTTTCTTGAGTTTTAGTCCTGATGTATGTAAGAAAAATGTTTTGATATCTTGTCTCCTTTTATCAATATGTAAATTCTGTACCACCAAGCAATTATTTATCAAACTTCATGTGAACAAACAGAAAATGCCACAGATCCTCAGCAAGTCAGGCAACATCTATGGAGAGGGAAACAGGAATATACTTCAAATCTTACTTCAGACATCTCTTTTGCCTTGCCATAAATACTTTGTTTACAGCTTTTCTGCAGTAATTTGCTTTTGTTTATATGTGTAAATGAATATTTTAAAAATTAATAAAGAGTTAACCTCTTCCTAAATTTGTCAGTGACATGTTGGTGTGGAGTTCATCCATTTGTAACTACTTCTACTTTGCCCATAAATTCATTTGACAGCTTGGCTGTGGACTTCAGACTCAAACTGAGAAATACTTATAATGTTACACCTGGGTTGTCTGAACCAGGAGCAAAACTTCTGTACCACAAGCATAAATTGCATTCTGATTCATGGTCTTCCATTTTATCCGCACTAAAATGTGGACAGCAATTTAACAGTGGCATACTCATTGCCAAGGTCCACAAATGAAGCATAATCAGATGGAAGGAGAACATCTTGGAATGGGGGGGGGGACAAAAAGCAGGACAATAATCCTCAAAATTCTTCTTTATATCAATAGCTTATACTTGTATGGCATTCATCACAATCATTTTCTCAGGGGCCTTTAAAGGGAGGAATGTACACAACATACATGAAGGAAATTGAGACGAGGAGAAGATTGACATAAAGTACTCAGTTGCAGGTATTAGGAGGCTTTTAAAAGTAAGGATACAGGTAGGATTATCAAGTACTTTTAACAAAGATTTTCTCAGGGACTAAGACATTTTTAAAATCCTTAGAACAATTATTTAAGTATATGGACATAGATGTATTTTGCTTGGGATGTATAGATCTCTGTGTAATGTATATCACAAATTCCTTTTCACACATTATCACACACTAAACCTAAATACAAGTCATGGTATTGCATTTGTACAGATTATAATTATTTTAGTCTCTGATTTATGATTTCCAGTCTCTCACATGGCAGACCTATAGGTTCTGATGCAATAAAATGAGGATTTTGTAAAGTGAAGCATTTACAGCATGTTGTGAGATTGCTTGTAATCAAATTCTTGGGAGATTGACTCACAGGTAGCCATCTGCTTTCTTGCAACTTGCTTCTAAGTATGGCTGAAAGACTGGCTAGAGTGATATGCTCAATGAGTTCGGTAGAACTGCCACTAAACAGCATTTAACTGATCTTTTAAACATATAAAGACAATGAAGCTACCTCAAATGACTTTTTCTTAGTTCAAAGTTTTCTTTCCAAATAAGCTGGGGTGTTCTTGTTCTTTACATATTCCTAAACTGTGCACTAACACTCTGATGATTTCAGATAATTGTTTTAGAATTACCCAGTCAATCTAATATACAATTCTGATTGTTCAAAGTTTTTGAGAGGATTTGTAGTTTGGGTTGTTGATTCAGTTGTTGACTTGCTCGCCGAGCTGGTAAGTTTGTTTGCAAACATTTCATCACCATACTAGATAACATCACCTTGTCCCCTTGGTGAAGTATCGGTGTTTTATCCTGCTTGCTTTTTATGTGCCTCTGTTTGCTGGGGTGGGTGGCATCACTTCTGGATTTGTTTCTTAGTGGTTGGTATATGGTGCCTTAGCTAAGGAAACACTAGCCTCACTACTAGACAGACCAAGGATACAGACACCCAACAACACCAACACCATGAGCAAAGATTGCACCCTCAAACTACTGGATCTGTGTCTCACAACCCACTTCACCTTCAACGGCAGGGTATACAGACAAATCAAGGGAACACCCATGGGATCACCGATATCAGGATTAATAGCAGAAGCCATAATGCAAAGACTGGAGTGGACAGCCCTTCCCACCATCCAACCAAATCTATGGATCCACTCTGAGGATGACACCTTTTGTGATTGTCAAATGCTCTAAACTGAAAGAAACCCATCTACTCATAAACAACATCCTCAGCGGC